CATTTTCTATTAAGGTATCTTAATAGAATGACTCAAGTATGATTTTAGGTACTTTTTCCACCACTTGGCACACATATCCAGATTACTGACCAGAAAGCACTTGTTTCATTTCCTCCGGTTTTGCCTGATAAAAACAGGGTAGACTATGTTTATGTTATCCATATAAAAGACAGTTTAGTGATCTGCTACGGACGCATCTTTGCCAGAACAATACCTGTCGATTTAAATGATAGTTTTCATATTTCAGATGGGCCTAGTTTGGGTGAGTTAATTAAGCTATATACCTCAGTTCTGCGTACTGGCTATATGTCTTAAGATAGTTGTAACATCGCGTGCCTTCAATTCATATGGGATGAAGATGTAACATATTCAGGCAAATGTATAACGATTTTTGTGAGGAAGAAAAAGGCTACATTCAAATCATGCTTTCCAAACTCCGCTGCATACATGTAAGCCTTATGATCCTGCTAGCTCTGGACTCTAGAGAATTGACATGATATCCCTAGTTCATATTGACTGCTAACATGAATAACCTTCAGCTCAAAATGCAGGTGTAAAACACTGTTTATTTCTGTATCTTGCGTTTTGAAAATGCATCACCATTTATGGCTGTAATGACAGGCTACATTTGCGCGGCGATTGTGTTCGCGAGTGCGTTCGCGAGTGCGCGCGTGCATGTGCCTGCGCGGGGGTTCGCAAGCTTTGAACCACTCTTTTTTGGGTGTTTGCGGGTCAAAAAGTTTGAGAACCAGTGATTTAGCGAACAGATTGCTGATTTGCTGTACAGTTTTAGGATTGGGTGCAGCGCAAACATCAAATTGTAGAGAGAGAGGATTTCCATAAATAAATATGCAGCTCCAAAATAATATTAACTGTTTACTTTGCAAGCTCACCAGCAATGGGGCATCAAGTAACAATTATTAGCATAGGCCTACTGGTCTTTTGAAATGTCAAAATTGCTTTTAAATATATAATTTTGTTATGAAGTTTGCATTTGGAATTTGTTGTTCAAATTAATTATTATATAATTAAAATGTGCTGTAGACAAAATCATGAAAAGGGCTGTCTGGCAGCCTCAATACATAGATTTGTAGTTGAACAAGTCATTGCATGTAAATACTTTTTTTTTTTTTTTTTTTTACTTGACTTGAGAATTGACTTGAAAAAACGTGTGACTCTACTCGACTTGACTCCACCCGTTCTACTTGGGACTTGAGACACTGACCTTGTGACTTGAGATTTGCTTGTGGGTAAAGTCCACTCTGTTCGTAACATATTTTCGTTTTGGAAACAGAAAACTGTATTGAGATCAAATGTTTCATTGATGAGAAAATGTGAAGAATGTCGACCAAAATCCATCTCTCCATTGCCGGCCACTGGGCTTCCTCTCACCACCATTTGGTAGTGAGTGGAAACGCATACCAGATACTTCACATTTATACATCAGGTGAAATATCTGTCTCATTATTCTGTCTGTGGTTGAACGCAACTGGGACGTGAGCAAAAGTGCGCATTGCTCCAAAAACTCCCGACTCCGCCCATGCACACACGTTGATCGGCGGAGTGACGTCTGTAGAGCCCTTTATACCACACGTCATACTCATCGTCGACATCTCTAAACGCAGATACTGGGGAAGCTAACTAATCTGCCACGCTAGCCAGTGGCATGACACATTTGAGCTAACATTAATTCATATTTCAAATAAGATATTTACAGACGACCTGAGGCCGTTATCCTCGCTAGCTATCTACCGTTACTAACCTGGTCATGGAATCACATTTCCGTGAAGCTTGCGTCTCAGTTGATCATTCTCTCTCTTTCCCTGTATTATTTCCTCTTGGTATTCTAGTATGGGCTCTTCCACGGTCTGATATATCTCTTGGGCAGCTAACGTCAACCGTTCGGATTTAGGGACTCTACTGTGGCTGTGAAGTTGTTTAACTGTACATTTAGGTTCAGTCACATAACTTTAAGCATCAGTTGTCAGAGCACCTTACCGATCACTGCACCTGTACACAGCCCATCTGAAATTAGCCCACCCAACTACCTCATCCCTATATTGTTATTTATTTTGCTCTTTTGCACCCCAGTATCTCTATTTGCACATAATCTCTTGCACATCTAGCATTCCAGTGTTAATACTATTGTAATTATTCTGCACTATAGCCTATTTATTGCCTTACCTCCATAACTTGCTACATTTGCACACACTGTATATATATTTTCTGTTGTATTTCTGACTTTGTTTTTTTTACCCCATATGCAACTCTGTGTTGTTTTTATTGCACTACTTTGCTTTATCTTGGCCAGGTCGCAGTTGTAAATGAGAACCTGTTCTCAACTGGCTTACCTGGTTAAATAAAGGTGAAATAAAATAAAATAAAAGTCGGAGTTCATTTGTTTACTTGAACAGCTAATAATCATGCAAACAAACACCTCATTCAAGGGCCGGCCAGCTCTCAGCTAGTATGACTATGTATGGGGAAGTGAACAAAGACAACGTAGTCTGTTACTAGTTTATTAAAAAATAACATTTAGTACACAATGATACAACACTGTACAGTAATGTGTGTGGGAGCAGCGGTGTCCCAGAATATACTGTGTGGAAAGAGAGAGGAGGGATGCCGGTCGAGTTAGATGTTCTACTGTCCTAGCCTCAGTCCTGAGAGGCGATACAGGCCCGGTCTTGTAACAACCCCAAGCCCCTATTGCCCAAGACACTTGCCTAAGGGAAGTGGGGCTGTGTTTTGTATCTGGTATGGGCCATAGGCTTTCTGCTTGTTCATGAGCATTGGTCTCAGCTGGGCACTGCTCAAGTTATCTGCTATATAAACTTGTGAAGGGACAGATTTAGATTAAGTCTACTCCTGGATTAAATGCATTCACAATATACATTAAAGTGCTTTTTATTCCAGGAAAAACCTTGATCTGGGTCCGAAAATATGTATTTTACACTTCCAAACAACACTTCCAAACAACCGGCCACCATTACTAGATCTTTACTATAGTGAATATATGTGCAGCAGCGCCTAGCTCAGGACCAATCCTTGTGAACAAGCAGCACAGATAGATACAGGGTAATACTGTATGGCTCAGCTGAGGAATCAGCCTTTCTCTGCACCGTGTTGGTCAAATACAGTAGTATTGCAGGTCATAGAGAACACACAAACCCTATCTGCATCAGAGGTGGGGGATAGATAGTGGTCATATACAGAATTATCATAATCGGGATCACATTTATCTTGCAGAATAGCAGTCTTAGTGTTGATTCCTATGTGATAATAGTACGTTTTTATTGTATCAGTTACAAGTTGACTGAAATTCAGGTGGCCGTATACAGTTCTGCAACAATGGCTAACACCTCGATCACACCGACAGCGTCATTGCATCCCATTCACGTATATCTACCATACAATGTAATGCATACATTGGATATATCCAACGCATGCACCACACAACGCACTGCAACTGCCTCTGCCTCGCAATGCTGCAAGGCAAATGCAGCGGTCCATTGGAAATAAATTGATACTGAACAAAAATATAAACGCAACATGTAAAGTGTTAGTCCCATGTTTCATGAGCAGAAATAAAAGATGCCAGAAATGTTCCATATGCACAAAAAGCTTATTTCTCTCAAATGTTGTGCACAAATTTGTTTACATCCCTGTTAGTGAGCATTTCTCTTTGCTAAGATAATCCATCCACTTGACCGGTGTGGAATATCAAGAAGCTGATCAAACAAGCATGATCATTACACAGATGCACCTTGTGCTGGGGACAATAAAAGGCCACTCTAAAATGTGCAGTTGTGTCATAAAACACAATGCCACAGATGTCTCAAGTTTTGAGATGGCATACAATTGGCCTGCTGACTGCAGGAATGTCCATCAGAGCTGCTGCCAGATAATTTTATGTTCATTTCTCTACCATAAGTCGCCTCCGTCGTTTTAGAGAATTTGGCAGTACGTCCAACCGGCCTCACAACCACGTGTAAACACGCAAGGCCTGGACCTCCACATCCGGCTTCTTCACCTGCGGGATCGTCTGAGACCAGCCACCCAGACAGCTGATTAAACTAAGGGGGTTTTCTGTCTATATTAAAGCCTCTGTGGGGAAAAACTCATTCTGACTGGTTGGGCCTGGCTCCCCAGTGGGTGGGCCTGGCCCCCAAACGGGTGGGCATGGCTGCGCCCCTGCCCATTCATGTGAAATCCATAGATTAGGGCATTATGAATTTATTTCAATTGACTGATTTCATTATATGAACTGTAACTCTGAAAAATCGTTGAAATTGTTGCGTTTATATTTTTGTTCAGTATACTTCTGGTGTACCAAATGCAATGACGCTGTTGGTGTGATTAAGGGAGAGAGCGATGTAATGATTATTTAACATGGAGTATATCAGGGAGGCTTTAGGTGTCTAACCGTACAGAAACATAGCCCTGCCTGCTGTATTCTATTGCTAACCCTAATTCCCACCCCTGACCTCACCCAAACTAACAATGGCTAATATGTCTACTTATCCATATTTGGAAACTCAAAGAATGGACAACTGTTCATAGACAATGCCCATACGGTTAGCCAGTGTTCATAAAAAACACAAATAAAAACAGCTTACGAATTTCAGCCAGGTGATTCAGGAAATCAGAATAAGCTGTGATATACTTTATAAAAAATAAACCATTGTTTTTAGAAACTTGAAATTGGTGTAAATTGGCCCTGTGCAAATCATCTGGGGCAAGACCACGTTTTGGAACACTGCATTGTTGGAATCCTGAATGCATCTCCGTTCAAGGCGCATTGTGGAAGACTTCAATATCATCATGCTATCAAGTTTATTACTAAAAGACTAAATAATTAGGAAAGACTAGCTAATAACTCAAGTACAAAAAGAAAATGGACACCTACTAAATTGACTATACTGCAATACAAATCCTATTGCATGAGAGAGAACTGTTACTTAGCAGAGATAAAACATTCTAAGAATGTCACAGAATCCCTAGCTCTGAGAGAGAGAAAAATAAAACAAGCCTTGTCTTAGTGGCAGCAATTTGAGCTTTTAAAAAATGTCCCATAATCAGCAATTCATTCATACACCGAGACTCAGTCGTTCATTAACAACAACCACCCACCACCACCGGTGGTGGCGTCTCTCTCATCTCACTGCCCCGAGAAGTAGGTGCCCTCACGGCTGTGGGTCTGGAGGTGACGTTTAATTTTGTCAGAGCGGCTGAAGCACTTGCCACACACAGGGCAGCTGTAAGGTTTCTCTCCAGTGTGGATACGCATGTGGACCTTAAGATGGGCCATCTGGGTAAATCCTTTTCCACAGCTCTGGCAGCGGTACGGCTTCTCTCCAGTGTGACTCCTGGCATGCTCCTGGAGCCTGCCGGAGGAGCTGCAGCACTTTCCACAAACCCCGCAGCGGTACGGCTTCTCTCGGGTGTGCACCTGGACGTGGACATGCAGGTGTCCGACATGGCTGAACGTCTCCCCACACACCCTGCAGCAGAACGACGACACGTGCACCTGGAGAGGAGATTTTCCACACTCAGCGGCCGAGGTGGAATTAGCGCCCTGGTTGCTTAAGTGGGAGCCCTGACCTCTGCTCCCGCCGGCTCGTCCTTTAGACCCAGACCCCATCTGTCCTCCGTTCTCCACCCCGATGATGTCAATGTTGTTCTCGTTGGAGCAGTTGGGGTTGACCGTGGCCAGGGGCTGCGGCCCGCTGTTGGACGAAGACGATGATGAGCCTCTGTGGGACCCTTCTGATTTGACATGTCTGGATGAGCTTCTGGGACCAGGCTCCCTCTCTCTGTTCTCCACCGACGGGTTCTGGGGCAGGTTGGAGGAGTGGGGAGGGTCCTGGGGGTATTCGTTGCTGACACGGGGAGGGGTGAACATGGACTCTGGAGTGCTGCAGGAGCCGTGGCCGCGGAGCTGATCTTCCCCCTGGCTGTACCTGAGCTCCCGTTTCTCCTTGATCAGGATGGGGACGCGCTCCTCATGGCCCATACTGGGGCTCCACTCCCGGCGGGGATGTTCGCCATCCTCCTCCTCCAATAGCGCCATGGACTGACGGTCTGGGTGGAAGAGAGGGAGGCGGAACGTGGCAGTCAGATTGGATTTACGATCGAGGAAAAATACGATAAACAACATTTATGTAACGTTATCACAGGAACCCGATTTCAGAAATTAATCAGCAAGACAGATGCCTGAAAATTTGAGTCTAAATCGCAACAACTAGCTAGTTAAGAAGCTGGCTAGCTAGTCAGCTAGCTAACGAACAAAGGTGGCTAACTAGCTAGCTGAGTTAGCTAGCGCTTACATTATAAATTAACGTTAGCCTTCTGAAAAACATTAGTTAGCTGGCTAGTTCTGGAAACGTTAATACAAGGTGTCAAATATAAAATAACCAAATGGCCCTTTAGCTAGTTACGCAGCGACCAATTTGGTTTAACTAGCGTGCGGCTTCGGCGCTAATTTTAGCATGGTAGCTACTAACCTGGCCATATTTCAATCCCAGCGTCTCGAAGCCTACGTCTCAGATGGTCGTTCTCCCTCTCCCTGAGCGCAATCTCCTCTTGGTATTCCAAAATCGTGTCTTCGACAGATTTATAGATCTCCTGGGCAGCGAGCATAAGCCGCTCGGTCAAAAACACATTTAAAAACTGCAATTTAGTCATTTTCGGATGTCGTAGCTAGCTACAAGGGCTCTCGCTATTATCCAAAATGGACCTAAAAGATGCTCTCCCTGATCACGTGATAAGGAATGCCCGTTGTTACCGTAATAATAGGAAAACATGAGGCCCTAAATATGATGTGGGCCAAACCCAAACATCATGTTCAGCTCTCAAGGAATGCTGAAAATGCATGATTTTTTCACGTAAATCCATCCTTTTCATTATTGTACGGGGTCTTATGGAAGACAGCACCACAGTAAAGATTTTGAAATTGTTTATGAAGGTTAAAAAGGACTTGTTTCCTTTGGGGCACCTACCACAGGCTACAAAAGTGAATACCAATGAGTGAGCTTTGAGTGGTATACCCAGGTGAATTTTGCATACAGAATATAGCCGACTCCTTACGCTGTGCCTGGAAAAGTGTTTACCATCTTCCCCACGTTAGAATAACATATGAATCCTCTGATGATTTGTGGGTGTGTGTATCTAGAACACACCCAGTGAGTTGAGACTGTTTTGTATAGACTGGTGCACTTAACCAATGTGCACTTTTCAGGGGTCGACTGTATTTGCTTTATAGCTGAGCAAGAAAGCATCTTACCATGCAAGACCTGTCCAGCAATTAGAGCCAAAATATGGTACAAGCTGTCAACTGACAAAACAAAGTAAAAGAAAACAGGCTGTTTTACATCTTTAATGTAGTTTATGATTTGAGACAATACAGGGAAGAAAGGGACGAGAAATTATATACACCACAGGTTGTTGGCGGCACCTTAATTGGGGAGGATGGGCTTGTGGTAATGGCTGGAGGGGAATATGTGGAATGGTATCAAATACATCAAACACAAGGTTTGATGCCATTCCATTTGCGCTGTTCCAGCCATTATGATGAGCCGTTCTCCCCTCAGAAGCCTCTACTGATATACACCTGAGTGTAGGGGTGGGGGAGATGTGTGTCTTATACACAACTTTATTGTCTATTGAATCATACATTTATTTTTGCTGTCTTATTCTCACATAACCTTTTCATCATCCCAACCTAGCTATCTTAAGATGAACGCACTAACTGTAAGTCGCTCTGGATAAGAGCGTCTTCTAAATGACTCAAATTTAAATATGAATGTAAATCCTTATACTGTATGCTATAATAATTGTCACACACCTTTATGTTTCCTCTGCATGTGTACTTTGAGGTTTGACCTCTGGTTGAAACAGTGACCACAGACATTACAGAGGTAGGGTCTCTCACCGGTGTGTATTAGCTGGTGTGTTTTTAACTTGCTCGCAGTAAGAAAACACTTTCCACACAACGTACAGCAGTGGGGTTTTTCCTGCGTGTGAGCCATGCGTGTGTGCTGTTTCAAACGACTCATGTAACGGAAAGTCTTCCCACATTCTTTACAAATAAACAATTTCTTTACAACCTGAATGACCAGAGGCGATATCTGATGAGATAAGACGATGGCTTGGTTCTGTGTGATTTGGAAGGGCTGTGAGGGCTGAGCCAGGAGATGGGGTATGGGTAAGGAGGGTAAGGGCTTGGGCTGGATCTGGGGCAAGGTTTTGGAAGGGCCCAAATCATTGTCTTTGCGCCAACAGTGAGTGGTGGGTGTAGGCGTCGACTCTGTCGTTCCTGACTCTTGAAACTGCTCCTCCCCCTGACTGGTCCTTGCTTCTTGCTTCTTGTCCTCAGTTTGTGATACCTCCTTCCCCATACTGGGGCTCGACTCCTGCACACTCTGCTGCAGCAGCTTTGGGGGAGCTCCTGCTACAGAGACAATGCTGGTGATCTGTCGTAGACCTGCAGTTATGGATGGTTGACAAAATAACATCTCAGACAGACCCCTTGTTGGTAAAACAATTCTATAGCGGACGTGCGTGCACTGCACATGTCACAACTTCCCCTAAAAACAAGTACGGTAGCTAGTTTACACCCTGATATATACTCTTTTAGATATACATTTGTTTTTTATTTCCAATAATGAAAGGTGCATTATTAGGTCCTACAAACCTCGTTTTAAGTTCACTTTTCTCGGTCTGTTAGCATTTAACTGCTTCCGTAGAAATTCATTCTCTCTCTTTACGTAAGTGACCTCTGCTTGGTATTCTGCAAACGTTTCTTCTACCATTTTATAAATATCCTGTGCAGCTGACGTTAATCGTTCAGTGAGAAACAAACTTAGCAACTCTATTTTGGCCATTTTTGCGAAAAGAAACGCACACCAGCAGCTAGCTAACGTTAGCTAGTTGTGTACGATTGTAAGTCTTCTTCTGCGGTTCAGGGCGCACCCAACAACAATCAAGTCGGCGCATTATCGCCACCTTCTGGGACTGGAATGAAACCAAGGTAACAGCAAATATAACAGTGAAAAGCAACTACCACTGAAAAGCAGTACAAAATATTTTATTGTGTTATCCTCTGGAAGCTACTATACACAATATTTTTTTAAACCAAAACATAAACAAATGAATCAATCTGTAACTGTGAGACTAACACATTTTAGGGACCAGTTGGCAGTCTCAATCCATAACAACTTGGGACAGACAAGTTGACCACATGCTGTCAACTCCTCTTTATGAAAACAATGACAGACTGACTCTCTAACATTCCACAGTACAAGTCCATTAGCGATGTTTTCAAACGGCTAATTCCCAATGTATTTAAACAACAGCAGTGACTTTAGGGGCATGTCTTTGTCTTCTAAAAGGTGTCAGAAGGGGACACTTTTCCAACTTCTAAGGCAGGTTGTGGGTTCTCCCTTTGGTAAAAGTTAATGTGTGTTGTGGGAGGATCTAAGCTATGGTGTGTCTACATTGGGCCTAAAACATTGGTGGCGTTTTAGAAATTCTACTACGACAAAGCCTTTTCTGCACTCTGTGGTCTCTCCACTGCGTGAGCCATTTTGTGAGTCTTCATGTGAGTCTTGCGGGATGAGGACTGACTGAAGCATCTGCCACAGACGTTGCAGCGATACGGTTTCTCTCCAGTGTGAGTTAGTAGGTGACATTTTAAAGCACCTAATAATCTAAAGCATTTTCCACACTCTCTGCACTTATACGGTTTCTCTCCTGTGTGAGTCCTCATGTGCCCTTTAAGAGTGTTCTTCTCCCTGAAGCACATGCCACAATCTTCACACTGATACGGTTTCTCTCCAGTGTGAGTTAGCTGGTGGAGTTTAACTTGTCTTTCTCCTGAGAAGCCTTTTCTGCACAAATGGCATTTATATGGCTTATCTTGTCCCTCTATGTGAAAGGACGTATGATGCTCTTTAAGGGCCTTGCCATGTCTGAAGGTTTTGCCACACACTTCGCACAGATGTGGCTTCTCCACATAGTGATAAATACTTATATGATATTTTAGCTCAGCATTCTTAGGGAAACATTTGCCACAAATATGACAAAAAGTTTTCATTAGACTGTGAATTTGCAGGTGAACCGCCATGTTCTCTGCGGGCTCAAGGACCTTCCCACACAAACCACACAAACGGTTTTGCTCCGCTGAGTGCATCTGAACATGTCTTATTAAATGACGTGTGAAGTCAAATGATTGCCCACACACCTGGCAAGAACAAGGAACGTTGTAGTTGTGCAACATTGTAGTGCTTTCCACATCTTTGACTTTCTGACTTTGTGCTGCAGGGCTTTTCACACAGGGAAGCGTAAATATCATCAGGGGGGCATTCTGTTGAGACAACATGACAGTTTGGTTCTGTGCTGTTCGGAAGGGCTGGGAGGGATGGGCCAGGAGAAAGGTTGTGGGGAAGGGCTGAGGCTGGGCTTGGGGCTGGGGATTGGGCAGAGGTTTGGGCTGAGCCTGGGGCTGAGTCTGGGGCAGGGGTTTGGACAGAGGTTTTGGCTTGGCCTGGGATTTGGATGGGCCCTGAACATGGTTTTTGCTCCTAAAGAGAGGAGTGCATGTGACTGTGGGTGTGGTGGACTCTGTCGTTCCAGACTCTGGAAGCTGCTCTTCCGCCTGACTGGTCCTTGTTTCCTGCTGCTTCTCAGTCACTGTGGGCTCTGGGTCCTCCTGCAAGTGTAAGAAAATCATTACTCAAGTATTTTAATATTTTGCCATCATGTCAAAGTGGAATAATGTTTTTCGAAATTGTTAAATAATTAATTACAAATGAAAAGTGCAGGAGTAAGAATGGAACAAGTCACATAAGTTACATGGACTCAACTCCTGAGTGGCGCAGTGGTCTAAGGCACTGCATCGCAGTGCTAACTGTGCCACTAGAGATCCTGGTTCGAATCCAGGCTCTGTCGCAGCCGGCCGCGACCGGGAGACTCATGGGCGGCGCACAATTGGCCCAGCGTCGTCCAGGGTAGGGGAGGAAATGGCCGGCAGGGATGTAGCTCAGTTGATAGAGCATGGCTTTTGCAACACCAGGGTTGTAGGTTTGATTCCCACGGGGGGCCAGTATATAAAAAAAAAAATGTATTCACTAACTGTAAGTCGCTCTGGATAAGAACGTCTGCTAAATGACTAAAAATGTAAAAAAAATGTAAATGTGTGCAATAATGTTTAACATGATTTTTGAATGACTACCTCATCCCTGTACCCCACACATACAATTATCTGTAAGGTTCCTCAGTCAAGCAGTACATTTCAAACATAGACTCAATCACAAAGACCAGGGAGGTTTTACAATGCCTCGCAAAGGGCATTCAATTTAGGAGTTTTGTCAATTTAGTAATTGTCTTTTGTTTGGAGCGCTCCTGTCAATGTTGAGTAAGGACGCACACCTGATTAAGCATAGAAGTACATTTACATTTTACATTTACGTCATTTAGCAGACGCTCTTATCCAGAGCGACTTACAAATTGGTGCATTCACCTTATGATACCAGTGGGACAACCACTTTACAATGTATTTTTTTTATATATTTTTAATTTTCATTTGTTATATATATATATATATTTTATTTTTATTTTTTTGCAAGCTTCAACTGGAAGCCAGTGGAGTGTACGGAGGAGCGGGGTGACGTGAGAGAACTTGGGAAGGTTGAACACCAGACGGGCTGCAGCGTTCTGGATGGGTTGTAGGGGTTTAATAGCACAGGCAGGGAGCCCAGCCAACAGCGAGTTGCAGTAATCCAGACGGGAGATGACAAGTGCCTGGATTAGGACCTGTGCCGCTTCCTGTGTAAGGTTGGGTCGTACTCTGCGAATGTTGTAGAGCATGAACCTACAGGATCGGGTCACCGCTTTGATGTTAGCGGAGAACGACAGATCCAGGGTCATGCCAAGGTTCTTTGCACTCTGGGAGGAGGACACAACGGAGTTGTCAACCGTGATGGCAGATCATGGAGCAGGCAGTCCTTCCCCGGGAGGAAGAGCAGCTCCGTCTTGTTGAGGTTCAGCTTGAGGTGGTGATCCGACATCCACACTGATATGTCTGCCAGACATGCAGAGATGTGATTCGCCACCTGGTTATCAGAAGAGGGAAAGGAGAAGATGAATTGTGTGTCGAACATCTCATTCCAAAATCATGGTCATTAATATGGAGTTGGTCCCCCCTTTGCTGCTATAACAGCCTCCACTCTTCTGGGAAGGCTTTCCACTAAATGTTGGATCATTGCTGTGGAGATTTGCTTCCATTCAGCCACAAGAGCATTAGTGAGGTCGGGCACTGATATTGGGCGATTAGGCCTGGCTCGCAGTCTGCGTTACAATTCATCCCAAAGGTGTTCGATGGGGTTGAGGTCAGGGTCTGTTCAGGCTAGTCGTTCTTCCACACCGATCTTGACAAACCATTTCTGTATGGACCTCATTTTGTGCACAGCGGCATTGTCATGCTGAAACAGGAAAAGGCCTTCCCCAAACTGTTGCCACAAAGTTAGAAGCACAGAATCGTCTAAAATGTAATTGTATGCTGTAGCGTTAAGATTTCCCTTCACTGGAACTAAGGAGCCTAGCACGAACCATGAAAAACAGCCCCAGACTATTATTCCTCCTCCACCAAACTTTATGCATTCGGGCATGTAGCGTTCTCCTGGCATCTGCCAAACCCAGCCACGTTGAAAGTCACTGAGCTCTTCAGTAAGGCCATTCTACTGCCAATGTTTGGCTATGGAGATTGCATGGCTGTGTACTCGATTTTATACACCTGTCAGCAATGGGTGTGGCTGAAATAGTCAAATCCAGTAATTTCAAGGGTTGTCCACATACTTTTGTATATATTGTGTACGTTCGCCAATAGAACGGATGGTAGAGGCGGTTTATTTAATCGCCGAAGTAGTCTCATCAGGGAGCCCCTCGTTTGCCTGTCTTGCACCGTCTCTTCCTCTCGAGTCCCGGGGATTAGGGCCTGGTCCAGAATGAGCAGTACATCCACAGCTGCCGACTTGTTGAAGTAGAAATCTTTATCCAAATGGAGGTTAGTGATCTCTGTTCTGATGTCCAGAAACTGCTTTCGGTCATAGGAAATGAAGGCGGAAATATTATTTACAAAAAAAGTTCAGATCAGTGTAAAAAAAAAATTGCACAATTGGTTAGGAGCCAGTTAGAAAGCTGCTATCCACTGCATCACTATCTTCTTGTTTGCTAGGATGTGCCCAACTGAACATGACCCAGGGCTATCTGGAAGGATGTTTGGGGCAGGGAGGGGCTATAGTCTCTCAAGGGGGTTGATAAGGGTGGAGGTGGGGGAGATCTGTAGATAAGGTATCTCCAACCAGGACCAGGTGATGACAGGTCTGGGATAGCCAGATGCTCGTGACTGGTAAAGAGAGAGAGACTTTAACTATTTGCACATCATTACAGTTGAAGTGTACCTATGATAAAAATTACAGACCTCTACATGCTTTGTAAGTAGGAAAACCTGCAAAATCGGCAGTGTATCAAATACTTGTTCTCCCCACTGTATATAAAAAAAATTCGGGGACAGCCCTAAACCTAATTGACAGAGTGAAAAGAAGGAAGCCTGTACAGTATAAAAAAATATTATTGTTGCAAACATGCATCCTGTTTGCAACAAGGCACTAAAGTAATACTGCAAAAAAAAGCAATTAACATCCCTATTCAGGACAAAAAGTTAATGGTTAACCATTATTCGGTTGGCCACCGAAAATACATTTGGCTGGTCATGCTTATCGGTCTATAGGTTAATTAGCATAATGGAATTAAATTGACTCGTGTGTATTTGTTAGTCGTCATTTATCAAACACGCACAGTATACAGAGCCATAGTTTGATGAGTGGAATAGCCTATCACCTGTCAGACAGCGAGAGAGCACCTCAAAAAGCTGGTATTGGAGCTGAAACAAGCTTTTTTTTAACCTAGTCGTTGCGCAACAAATAATATTAAATGCAATTTTATTAGCTGCTTCATTAAAGGAGTTTCATGTTCAATAATAAGCAATAGGCTTTTGACTGCAAAACAATAGGCTTGCTATTGTTATGTTTTCATTAAGCTCTTAATGAAAAATGTCTGTTCCTTGTATGCATGCATAGTATTTTCTGTACAAGCAATGTACTGTTTGGAATTTTTTTCGTTTCGTTTGTTGACCGGTTAATGAGGGTCGGTTGGTCGGCAGCAAAATGTACATCGCTAGTACAAATTGTTATGTTTGGGACAAAACCAATACAACACATTACTGAGTACCACTCCATATTTTCAAGCATAGTGGTGGCTGCATCATGCTATGGGTATGCTTGTAATCGTTAAAGACTGGAGAGTTTTTCAGGATAAAAAAATTTACGTAATGGAGCTAAGCACAGGCAAAATCCTAGAGGAAAACCTTGTTCAGTCTACTTTCCACCAGACACTGGGAGATGAATTCACCTTTCAGCAGGACAATAACTGATTACATAAGGCCAAAATCTACTCTGGAGTTGCTTACCAAGACATTGAATGTTCCTGAATGGCCGAGTTACAGTTTTGACTTAAATCTGCTTGAAAATCTATAGCAAGACCTGAAAATGGTTGTCTAGCAATGATCAACAACCAATTTGACAGAGCTTGAAGAATTTAAATAAAATAATGGGCAAATGTTGCACCTTCCAGGTGTAGAAAGCTCTTAGAGACCTACTAAGAAAGACTCACTGCTGTAATCGCTGCCAATGGTGATTCTAACATGTATTGGCTCAGGGGGTTGAATACTTCTCTAATCAAGATAGTGTTTTATTTTTCATGAAATGTTTTACAAAGGTTAGAATTTTTCTTCCACTTTGACATTTGAGTATTCTGTGTAGATAGTTGACAAAAATGACATTTAAATCAATTTTAATCCCACTTTGTAACAACAAAATGTGGAAAAAGTCAAGGGGTGTGAATACTTTCTGAAGACACTGTATATCGCAACCAAGGTTGGGGGCAATTCCAATTAAATTCAGAAAGTAAACCAAATTGCAATTCCAATTTTTCATCTTTGAAAAGCATTGAAGACAATTGGAATTTCAGTGTAGGCCTACTTCCCGAATTGACTGGAATGTAAATGGAATTGACCCCAACCCTGATAGAAAGAAATACTACACACCTGTCTGTCAGTATTTTCTGTGGATCTTCTTGGTGCTACTGAGTCGTAGTTGTGGTCTTCACCTGCAGAGGGAGTCCTGGTTACTTCGTCGGATGCCCTGACTCTTCTCAACAGATGAAGCATGCTTTGCCTAGTAACACAGACACCAAGTCTGGCAAACCTATTGAAGCATTTTTTCTTCTGAGCCTGGTGCAGGATAAGCGAGTTCCGAAACATGGGTGCACTCATCCTGCCGCAACGTGCCTTGAGAAGAGTGGCTCCAGCCATGCCTATGGCAAAGTTCTTTCTCTGCGTACGTTCTTTGGTCATGGCAGAAACCCATGTAGATGTGCTTGCAGACTCCAGAAACCTAAGGAACGTGGGTGCGGTTGTCTTCCATTCAGTAAAAACAGTGTCCCATTTGAAGGCTTCCAGAGAGGATGGACTGGTCTGTCTAAGTATGGAGTTGAATGGAACGCTAGTGAGCTCTTTGCATTCTTTGACGACTTCATTCAAAACCTCTTTGGTGACAAGGGGAGCCAAATCAGGAACTTCCATTATTGCCTTTGCTGCGCTGAAGAATTGTCCATTCAAAATGTTATCCACAAGTTTCTCCATGGGTCCAGAAAGGATGTATTTAGACTGCACACTCACCTAGAAATAGGAGGGGGAAATCAATATCAATCAATATGTAACTTTTAATGGCCCAGCAAGCATTTTCACCTGATACCAGCGACCAAACTATAAAAATTCTGTCATTTTGATGTGAACGTTGACCAGGGTTGAGTGAAGTTCAACTTTATAGGTTATAAATTATCACCGCATTGCTGTCAGAAATAGGATCATGGCACTACTGTGTGGTGCTATAAGAGGGGTGCAGGACTTCAGAACCTCAGCACACATTTTCTGAAGGAAGGGGGTAGTGTGCAGACTAGCGACCTTAAACACCTACCTAGAAACTATATCAAGATGTTTAGATCCTTTCACACTACCCCCGACTTCTCTCCAACATACAGCAGGTATTAGAGGTGACAACACGTGTTTACCTGGCTTAGCTTCGAAGAAGCAGCAGCATCATCATCATCATCATCGCCAGACTGTGGCTCCTGCTCCATATCTTCTTCCAAGTATACTGAGATTTCTGCAGGCTCATGTTTGATGCTATCGCTGTTGGGGTCTGGTGTTGCGTCTTCGTCTGTGTTCTCGCTCTTTGGCACAACTACTAACGTTACTGTAAAATCTGGCGGGGTAACCTTACACGCGTCTGTCATTCTCTCTTGAGGGGAGGGGGTGATACTACTCTTACCTTGCTGGGCCTCCAGAGTTCGCCATGCGAGAGAGCGACTCTCCCTCTGCCTCTGAGCACTCTCTCGAAATATACTGCCAATTTTCTCCACATCGCAAAAGCTTTTGTAATACCTTTTGAGAAGTTTGCGACACGTTTCGCAAATGATCTGTGGTAAGGCATCGTCCTGAGAAATTGGTCCAGTGAGGTCCTCCAATGCTGTGGTGTAGTCATATGGTTTCAAACATTGACCTTCGAATTGACTGAAGAGATTGTGCATGTATATTCTATGGGAAATGTTTTCCCCACAAGCACGACATACACCGACCCAACAGGTTCTCTTTGGTCTCATCATGTTAGCTAGCTAGCAATAGCATGTCCTTGCGTCACAGAACAGTATCAGTATCTTTGCTAGCATGGTCCAAAGGGTTGTTTTTTTCCGTTTGTTGTTACATTTTCATGTTTCCTCCTAATTAGTCCCCTCCTCATTCGTGTGATTGTGAAAAATTAATGACACGTTACTCAGGTACGCTCGTTTCACCGGCGTAAAGCAACGAAGGCCGAGTTTACGGTTGTGACTAGAAAGAATGCAGCTACGGACGGAAGTGACTTTTTGAAGCAGGTTATGATAGCATTTTAGCTAACCCTTTCCCTAACTTTAACCTAATTTTCATAAACTGCTACGTTCATTCACACAGGGGAACATACGCAGCATGTTATGACAATTAGGTTATGGTTAGGTCAAATGCAGCAACAACAACAAAAAAAACTTGACATATATTTGACAAAAGCTGGATCCCTTCTAGACATTACCCACTTTGGATATAGCTACGACCGGAAAGGACGTTTCGTAGCAGGTTAGGAGAGCATTTTCCCTAACCTAATTATCCTAACCTGCTACGTTAATTATCCTAACATGTTGCGGACGTTCTCCTAACCTGCTACAAAAAGTAACTTATGTCTGTAGCTGTATGTGTGTATACCATCGAGATTCCTTAAAAAAACATGCCACTTACTTCCGGAAGTGACTTTAACCTAGCAGGTTATGGAAATGTGTGCAGCAGGTTAGGATAACTAACGTAGCAGGCTATGATAATTAGGTTAAGGTTAGGGTTAGCGAAAATGCTCTCCTAACCTGCTACGAAAAGTCACTTCCGGTCGGAACTGTATCCAAAGTGGATCAAATCTAGATGGGATCCAGCTTTTGTCAAATGTGTTAGTTTTTTTTAACATTTTAGCTAACCCTAACCCTTTTCCTAACCTGCCACGTTTATTCTTATAACCTGCTGCATACGTTCTCCTAAACCTGCTAAGAAAAGTACATTCTGACTAAAACTGAATCCCTGCTAGCCATAACCGTCGAAGTGGCGTGTTTTCAGGAGTCCCGTCAGAGTATCTATTATATTGACAAGATTGCAGAGTGACCGCTCTAACAATGGAAATACATGTCCTCAAGGCAGGCAAGGTCAGGCGGGACCATTCTAATGTTAATCAATGTTTAAACGACTAGCACACAGCTCAGACTCCCATGCATACCCCACGAGACATGCCACCAGAGGTCTCTTCACAGTCCCCAAGTCCAGAACAGACTATGGGAGGCGCACAGTACTACATAGAGCCATGACTACATGTCACTCTATTCCACATCAGGTAACTGATGCAAGCAGTAGAATCAGATTTTTAAAAACAGATACAAATACACCTTATGGAACAGCGGGGACTGTGAAGCAACACAAACATAGGCGCATACACACACATGATAACATGATAACACACTCTATACACACGTACACGTGGATTTTGTGTTGTAGATATGTGGTAGTGGAGTAAGGGCCTGAGGGCACACACTTGGTGTGTTGTGAAATCTGTTATGAATGTATTGTGATGTTTTTAAAATTGTGGAACTGCCTTAATTTTGCCAGACCCCAGGAAGAGTAGCTGCTGCCAAGTTTTTAATGTCACTTGCACAAGCACAGTGAAATGCCTTTCTTGCAAGCTCCAAACCCAACAATGCAGTAATCAATATCAATGTAGCACAAAAAAAAAGGTAGAACAAAAACACATGATAAATCAAATAAGAAATAAGAAGAACACAATAAAGTAAGAAGCTATATACAGGGTCAGTTACAATTCCATATTTACAATGTGCAGGGATACTGGAGTGATAGAGGTAGGTATATATAGGGGTAAGGTGACTAGGCATCAGGATATATAATAAACAGAGTAGCAGCAGTGTAAATGATGATTGAATGTGAGTGTGTGTAGAGTCAATATAAATGTGTTTGCATGTTATGTGTGTGTTGGAGGGTTAGTGCAGTGTGTAGAGTCATGTGAGTGTGCATCTTTATGTATACAATATTTGGTGTACATAGAGACAGTGCAAAAATAAAAACAACATGAACCAGGTAATTTTTCTCAAAGTTGTCGGAATGCGACGTGCATCCACTTATATCAATACATTTGTAACAGCCTAAATATTACGAAACTTCTATTCGATCAAATAAGCCTTACGTAATTCGACACTCTCACAGACCTCCATACAATTCTTTAAAAAAAATCTCATTCGGACATATTTTGGGCGGAGTAAATCCTCTCGATTCGCCTCTTGCTCTCTTGTCCCGTATACCATCTAGTCAAAATCCGAGTTTAACACACTGAGGGGTTTACCGCCGTAATGTCGGAAACGTAAAGTTAACCTGTTTAGCAAGACGCTTTCTGATTCGCTGCTCAATACAAACTTGTGAATGATAAGCCAATCAATGATGTTCTCATTGGTCGTTGACAGCAACCAACATACACAATCAGAGATATTAGAAAAGGATCTCTGACACAATAAACATATCAAGAGGTGTCAATGTTTAGCTAGCAGTTTGGGCTAACTGGACAATTATTACCTAGCAATGTTTCTCACCAAATAACAACGTTGCTAACCAAGATTTATGTATATCGTTCAGCCAGTTGATTGACAACTGTCAGCTAAAATGAATCTGGGGTGAGTTATGTTTTTTGTCTATCACCAGTCGTGTTTAAAGTTAGCTAGCATAGCTAACGTTAGCTAGAGAGTTTTGCAGTTGGTGACGTAAGCTAGCTAGCTAGCTAAAGCTTGTAAACCAGCCAGCAAAGTTTGGAAAGATAATTTGTCTAGCATTGTACTGTAATGTTATATCTATATCTGCCTTATGTAGCAAGCTAGCTACCTAACGTTAGATCTATAGCTATAACCTTTTGTTTTGGTGAACAGGGATGGTCTGATGTTCGAACTTGAAAATGGAAAGCCCAGGCTAATTCTAACCAATCATCATGGTAGGTATCATACCTTTCAGTTAAACTTTAAGATATCAATATACATTACCATGTGCTTCAAAGGAATCAAAGCTGATTTGAACTTGAGTTGTAATTTATGTCTTGCCATGATTGTAGGTGTTGATATGAAGAATCAAAATAAGGTAAGAGATTGATCTGCTATCTAACAACCAACTGTTACTTTTTGCACCTAGGGTCATACATTTACATTTTAGTCATTTAGCAGACGCTCTTATCCAGAGCGACTTACAGTTAGTGAGTGCATACATTTTCATACTGGCCCCCCGTGGGAAACGAACCCACAACCCTGGCGCTGCAAGCGCCATGCTCTACCAACTGAGCTACAGGGGACTAAATGCATGAACTGTAACTTTCCTTGTTGTTTTCCTTTCCTTTTTATGTCTTAATGTTTAGATACTCTCTCGAACCAGACCGCAAAATGCTCTCAACTCAAAGAAGTTTCCTGAGCCAGTATCTGAGGAGCCTCTGAGAGTACAGAGGAAACGTGCAGAGAGGAGGACGGCAGTCCCTATCACCAACACTGTGCCAGTCAAGAATGACACTCCAATGGTTGCATCCAATCATACAAAACCAAAGGCCAAGGGCAGCACTGACCACAATACCAAAGCCGTGGCCAAAGTGCCCTCAGCTAAAGAACACAGGCAGATAGCCACTGATAGACCTCCAAAGACCACTGTGAAGGACAGCTTGGTCTGTTTGACCAATGAGCAGCTCCAACAGATCCTCAGCACAATCAACAATCAGGACGTACACACCCAGCCTCAAACAGGTGAGAGTGGATGTTTACAATCATCCCAATTCTAGTGCAACTGGCACTCTGTTAAATAAACCTGATGATGAAATTGAAGATGTACCACTACCTGCTATGATACATGTAGCTAACAGTGTCTGCATATCCCTAAGGAAATGCAGGGAACTCTAAAGAGGATTGCCTGTTGAATGGAACGGGGAGAGAAGGGAGTGCTGCACATGTTAGTGGGAATGGAAACTCACAGGGAAAAAGGGAGGATGAAAGGTCATGTTCTAGTAGCACATTTCACAACTTGACAACTTGTATTTAACTTACTTTCTTTTATAATATAATAATAATATGACATTTAGCAGACGCTTTTATCCAAAGCGACTTACAGTCATGTGTGCATACATTTTTACGTATGGGTGGTCCCGGGGATCGAACCCACTACCCTGGTGTTACAAGCGCCATGCGCTACCAATTGAGCTACAGAGGAGCAGGTGGGTGAATGGTGGTCTACTGTCTGGCCTGTTCAGTTCTCTGGGAGAAAGAGAGATGGACAAAGAAGCAGTGGAGGCCAAAGAAGCAGGGGGGGGGGGGGGGAGTATTTTTATTTATGTAAAAAGCCCTTTTGTGGGGAAAAACTCATTCTGATTGGCTGGGCCTGGCTCCCAAGTGGGTGGACCTGGCTCCCAAGTGGGTGAGACTATGCCCTCCCAGGCCCACTCATGGCTGCGCCCCTGCCCAGTCATGTGAAAACCATAGATTATGGCCTAATGAATTTATTTAAATTGACTGATTTCCTTCTAGGAAGTGTAACTCAGTAAAATCTTTGAATTTGTTGCATGTTGCGTTTATATTTTTGTTCAGTATAGAATCGTGAAAATCACAATACATATCGTGTCGGCACCTAAGTATCGTGATATAGTATTGTGAAGTCCCTGGCAATTCCAAACCCTAGGACCACAGCACACCATACAGCAAAGGTCTGATTTCACTTTCGGTAGTGCCTTTACATGTTTTTTATTTTTAATCTATGGGATTTTAAGCACTTACAAATTCATAACATATCATATGAATTTCACATTATATTACATATCATACGAAATGGATGACGTAGTGCACAATTTTCTGGGACCCATTTTGGCTCCTTAGCATTATTTTCAAAACTACTGCCTGAAATTATTCAAAACCTCTGGAGCATCACTTTAATTGATTGATTGGTGGTGTCTGGGTATTGTGGTGTGATACAGCTTATATCAGACATTAATGAAGTGATTTGATTGGCTTGCTTCTCTGTCTGGTTAAGATGAACAGATGGCTCTGAAGGAACAGCAGAAAGACCTGAGCAGACCAGATGTCACGGCAGACTATGGCCCAAGGGGAAAAATGACCATCTCATCTAAACCTGGTCCTGGAGATGGTCACATGCACACCAGGGTAGGCAATGGATTTCACCCAATCAATGTCATTATTATCAGCTCATTGGCTCTAATAGTTTTCACTGTCAATGTCCTAAGAATATGTTTGTTGACAAGCTTCTGTGGTCTCTGGCCAGATGCAGGAGGAGAGGCTAGGAGGACCCGGTCTGGAGGACACAGACACAGTGTGGTCCACTCAGAGCTGCAGCAGTCACAGAGACCTCCCTTCTGCTATCAGATCTGCCTTCGTGGTGGGGGTAGAGTACCATTCACTACCATAACGTAAAAAACACACATTTACTATTAGAGTTACAGGTAACAGCCACAGGCCATCTCAACTGAAGGTTACAACAGAGTGCTGTTGTAATGTTGCTGTTTTTGTGATTGTGATGTCCAGGAGGCCACCCCAGTAGAACATGCCTTCAGCGCTCAGAAGAAGGAGCAGCATAGGAGATGGCTGCAGGACCTGGACCAGCAGAGGGAGGAGGATAAGCTTCGACGCCGGAAGGAGAAACAGTATCTCAGCCAAGTAACAGGCTGATTAATTGCTTAGTTGAATCGGGTTTGTTAGTGCCGGGATATAATTAAAATGTTTGCCCCTGTAGGTTCCCAGGACTTGAATTGAAAGCATTGCTCAATAGCGTGTTTACACTAACCCACCTCCCTCCCTCTCTCCCAGGCTGAGGACCATGAGCGCTGGGCCATGCACTTTGACTCCCCGCAGATGAGAGTCCCTCTCCAGGTCCCCGTGGCTGCAGAGAGGGGCAAGTCAGAGCCCCTGAGCTCCCTCAGTCACCAGAGGACCGCTTCTGGAGCCCTGTCTGTGGCCTGGGACGGAGCCAGCACCTACGGAGGGGACAGTCTTGGGAGAGCCAGCGTCGACACCACTGGAGGCTTCCCACAGAAGGCCAGGTGAGCCATCCAGTACAGGAGGAACAATTATTAATTATATTCTATTCTATGATTATATTTCTGTGTTCAGCCATCTCCGTACCATGACGGCCCTACTGGACCCAGCCCAGATCGAGGAGAGAGAGAGGAAGAGACTGAAACAGCTGGAGCATCAGGTATGAGTGGGATAACGGGAGAAGACCAAGCCCTTTAACCTAATGTTGAATCTTACGCAATGTTCTATGTTGGACCCCAGGAATATTATCTGACGTCATGGCGTCAGCTAATGGGGATCCTAATAAAATGTTGAATTCTCTTGGCCATTGAGACTCTGAGATGATTGATAGGATTGTGGATTGGTTGTCCCGTCCTGTTCCAGCGTGCCATTGAGGCTCAGGTGGAGGAGAGGAGGAGGCAGCGTGAAGCGGAGGAGGCCGTGCGCCAGGCTGTGGAGCAGGAGGAGGAGAGGAGAGTGGCGCAGGAGAGAGAGCTGCTTCAGACACAGTACCAGCTTGACACTCAGAGAAAGAGACACAAGGAGGTCAGAGCACACGGACGTTACACTTCTGAACTTAGAGCTCATTGGGGATCTCTGGCAGTAGATCCGCTTTAATGAAAGAGATGACTAGCAATCACAAATTAAGTTAATGTCATGTGGCTGGAGCTTGCCAGCTTTTTCATTTTGAATTGTATTATGAGTTTTAGCCTACTCCTGTTGTGTTGTCATGCCAAGCATGCATTATATTAACTGACAACAGACTGTGTTTGTTGGGGTCTTTGTAACACGTGCGGGGTTCCTTGCAGGAGCAGCACAGTCGGAAGCAGGAGGAGCTTTACCTGAGTGTTCAGCGGGCCCAAGAGGAGGCCCTGAAGGACAAGCACCAGCAGAGGATCAGAGAGCTGGCCAGGAAGGGACACGACGTCTCCAAGCTGCAATGCTCTCTGGAGGGGGAACCTGGCTCGTCACAGGGTGATTACAGTTACCGGGGCTAATTACAGGGTGTTGCCGGGCCTAAAAAAGTCTTAGTCTGCTTAATTGTTGCCACGCAGCAAAACATATATATATATTTTTACATGAAATAATACTCGAAGCGCACTGTCAAGAGAGCTATCCAACCACGTGTGCCTCTGTGGGTTCACGTCATGTGCGTGTGCCAGTGCAAGCCGGGCGGTTGCCAGAGGAGAGAGCAAGGTGGCCTACAATTATATAGACCACAACACTAATAGAGCTGGGACGGTGGTCAAACCAAAAAATTACCGACATTGCTCTCCTCTTACCGAGGTAAAGTAGGTGACCTAGAATGGCACATGGGAGCAGGAGTCTGTCTCCTGTTTCTGTAACGTCGGTAATTTCGGTAATAGGCTACTCAATGTTCCTGCAGATTTTTGGGTTCTAAAACCATTATTTGGTCAACAGTATTATGCATTAACCTGCTTCCTGCAGTGAAAGTATCTGCCCTGTCCCTGTTTCGCTGCTGGCGCTCACTCCCTCTTCCCCCTTTGCACACTGAGTGAAGGGAGATATGCGTTCTGATTAGCGCAAGCATACTGACAGTTGAGCAACATTTCAAAATGTAATTGCAGGAAAAACAACTACCGTTACTGTTGTTAAAAAAGAGGATAGTCTCAGCTTTATGAGGTATAAAAAGTATTTCTCAAGTGTCAATATAGAGGAAATTACACCTTCACAAACCGTGTGTAATTGAGATGATGCGCCAGCAGAACGGAGTGGAGCAAGCCATTTAAGGTGAAAAGGCCTACATCGGCCGATTTTATAGGCCTACCAGTGGAAAGATTTTGTAGGACATCACATTTACTGTAAGATCAATTGCATGGCTATCTAGCAACAATATCATATTTAGTTAGCAATCTAGCAAATGTTTTGTGTTCCCACTTCCTTATGTGTTAAATAATGTAGCTATAGGCATAGCCCAGGGCTCTCCAACCTGTTCCTGGAGAGATACCCTCCTGTAGGTTTTCGCTCCAACCCTCTAATCTAGCACCCCTGATTCTAATAATTAGCTAGTTGATAAGTTGAATCCGGTTAGTTACAACTGGGATTGGAGTGAAAACCTACAGGAGGGTAGCTCTCCAGGAACGGGGTTGGAGAACCCTGGCCTAGGACAATATGCACAGAAAACATGCAGGCAAATTGATCTCTAAAGAGACAAAAATATCGAACTATTCTGGATCCTATTTTGACATGTTGCATGTCAAAATATCCAGCTTTCCCTGAACATGTTAGATGAAATAGTTAACTTCTTTCATGTCTTACTTGGCACTGGATTGCAAAAGTATTCATCCCCCTTGGCATTTTTGTTGCATTACAACCTGTAATTTAAATTGATTTTTATTTAGATTTCATGTAATGGATATACACAAAGTAGTCCAAATTGGTGAAGTGAAATGAAAAAATAACTTATAAAAAAAAATTCTAAAAAATAAGTCACGGGAAAAGTGGTGCGTGCATATGTATTCACCCCCTTTGCTATGAAGCCCCTAAATAAGATCTGGTGGAACCAATTATCTTCAGAAGTCACATAATTAGTTAGATTGCACACAGGTGGACTTTATTTAAGTGCCACATGATCTCAGTATATATACACCTGTTCTGAAAAGGCCCCAGAATCTGCAACACCACTAAGCAAGGGGCACCACCAAGCAAGCGGCACCATGAAGACCAAGGAGCTCTCCAAACAGGTCAGGGACCAAGTTGTGGAGAAGTACAGATCAAAGTTTCAGATATTTTTTTATAACCCAACCCTGAACATCCCACGGAGCATATTAAAAAATTGAAAGAATATGGCACCACAACAAACCTGCCAAGAGAGGGCTGCCCACCAAAACTCACGGACCAGGCAAGGAGGGCATTAATCAGAGAGGCAACAAAGAGACCAAAGATAACCCTGAAGGAGCTGCAAAGCTCCACAGCGGAGATTGGAGTATCTGTCCATAGGACCGCTTTAAGCCGTACACTCCACAGAGCTGGGCTTTACGGAAGAGTGGCCAGAAAAAAGCCATTGCTTAAAGAAAAAAATAAGCAAACACGTTTGGTGTTCGCCAAAAGGCATGTGGGAGACTCCCCAAACATACGGAAGAAGGTACTCTGGTCAGATGAGACTAAAATTGAGCTTTTTGGCCATCAAGGAAAACGCTATGTTTGGCGCAAACCCAACACCTCTCATCACCCTAAGAACACCATCCCCATGTTTTTCATCGGCAGGGACTGGGAAACTGGTCAGAATTGAAGGAATGATGAATGGTGCTAAATACAGGGAAATTCTTGAGAGAAACCTGTTTCAGTCTTCCAGAGATTTGAGACTGGGTCGGAGGTTCACCTTCCAGCAGGACAATGACCCTAAGCATACTGCTAAAGCAACACTCGAGTGGTTTAAGAGGAAACATTTAAATGTCTTGGAATGGCCTTGTCAAAGCCCAGACCTCAATCCAATTGAGAATCTGTGGTATGATTGCTGGACACCAGTGGAACCCATCCAACTTGAAGGAGCTGGAGCAGTTTTGCCTTGAAGAATAGGCAAAAATCCCAGTGGCTAGATGTGCCAAGTTTATAGAGACATACCCCAAGAGACTTGCAGTTGTAATTGCTGCAAAAGGTGGCTCTACAAAATATTGACTTTGGGGGGGTGAATAGTTATGCCCGCTCAAGTTTTCTGTATTTTTGTCTTAAAAATATTTTGCATCTTTAAAGTGGTAGGCATGTTGTGTAAATCAAATGATACAAACCCCCCAAAAATCTATTTTAATTCCAGGTTGTAAGGCAACAAAATAGGAAAAATGCCAAGGGGGATGAATACTTTCGCAAGCCACTGTAGAACCCTTTCCGTTTAGCGACCTTGCTTCGAAGTAAAGCCATTTGATACCTGATTCACTGAATGAGGGAATTATTTTATTATACTTTTTGTTTGTAGGCTAATGTATGTTATAATGTTATAGCATATTACATCCAAGAGAGCCACTGGGTGTTTAGACTTTTGTTCCAGCCCTACTCTAACACACCACATTCTACAAATCAACTGCTCAACAGGACCATGTTAAGCTGACCCTGGTGTGTTTGAGCAGTGCTGGATCAAAATCCTGCACACCCAGTGGCCTAGCTCTCCAGGTGGGGAGTCGACCGCATGTGCTTTATACAGTAACAGTGCTATTTGACTAAGCCTTCTGGTTTCCCGGACTGGACTATAACTAGTCCTGGACTAAAAAACGTTCAATAGAGATTCTCCATTGAACATGGTGTTTAGTAGATGACTACCAGGGCCTGGGAAACCTTGGGACTCTTGGTATTTGATGAAAGCAAAGTAGGTTTGTGATTGTTCTGTCTTCAGTCTTTAACACCAGCTCAGGACCATACCACTACCAGACAGGGAGGGAGATGGACACCCTGAGAGAAGAGACTTGCAGCACCACCTCCCTTAGGAAGGACACGGCAGTCCAGACTGGTAATATACATTACACTACTGATTTAGTGTCATGTACCGTGTACTATAAAGGCATGCATCTACTACTCACCAAATCCCCATTGTAAATAGGCATTCTAAAATGCCTCCCTGTGTGTGTTCTCTCTGTGTCTGCATAGAGGTGAACCCAGCAGTCAGGCCAGGCTGCAGATACACAGTGGAGGCTCTAGGTAATCGAAGCCAGGCGGTGCAGACCTCAGACATCCCTGTAGAGCACAGACCTCCTCCTCCTCCCAACGCCAAGAGGTACAGATGGGAGGCCAGGCAGGAGGCACGGCTGGCCCAGAGGAACCCTCCTGGCCCAGGGGCGGGGAAGGAGAACGTTTGGCTGAACGACCTGGGAGGTAGAGGAGGAGGTGGAGAAGGTGGTGTGTATTGGTTTTTTCACTGTCTATAAGTGAGACAAAATAATTTCCTCTTGGGGATTAATAAAGTACAGTCTCATCTCAGGTGCAGGAGACCTGTACGAGGCCTTTGCCCGGACAGACCGAGGCCAGGGCCAGAGACATAGGGGAGGAGGTCGCAGGCCAGAGTGGAACACTCAGAGACCCAGTAAACCCTTTGTCCCAGCATCGGAGCGCTACCCTGCAGGGCTGCAACACACCAGGCAGGAGAGCCGCCTCCACAGGCAGATGGAACTCATGACCCTGATGGAGAGGAACACCAGAACCCCTCACCCTCCTGACCCCGAACCTGCTGACCCCTCGCCACCACATGCCAACTACCCTGCTAGCACTGCACAGGGCAGGATTAAAAATGCTATCACAGGTGTGACACACGCCATGGCTGTTCACACTGGAAGGTGAGTAGAAATACAGGCCGTGGTGTTACATCTGTAGCCTGGTTAAATCAGACTGAACACAGACTGTTTACTGTTTGAGGTGAAATCATTTTCAGCATTCCGTCTGGTTTAACCAGGCTACCACATTCCGTCTGGTTTAACCAGGCTACCACATTCCGTCTGGTTTAACCAGGCTACCACATTCCGTCTGGTTTAACCAGGCTACCACATTCCGTCTGGTTTAATCAGGCTACCACATTCCGTCTGGTTTAACCAGGCTACCACATTGACAGATGTAGTGACAGTGTAATAAGGTATTGCTCCTCCAGGGGGCCCCCCAGATCCCCTCCAGTTCCTGCCATCAAACACCGCCTTCAGAAGCAGTCCCGTGGCTCCCGCCCCCCTACCCAGGCCCATGGGTCGCTCCAGGACACAGTCAGCCCCCCCCCCCCCTCTGACTACGTCCCCTACCTGAGGACCGATGAGGTGTACCACATGGATCCCCGTGCCCCCATCTCCAGACCCTCTACACATCCACAGACACAGCAACAGCCACACACAGGTCAGTTTCACTGTTGCTGCGGCTCTGCTCTCAACACCGTAACTTTGTCATGTTATTGTCGAGCCAAAGGCAAATTTACAATAATATACAGATTTATTGTGCATAGGGATCATCTCAGATGTATTCTGGGTATTGTCAGATGTATTTTGTGTATAGTGCTAGTTTCATGTTGTGGGTATTGTAACAGATGCGGTCCAGTGCAGGCCCATTAGCCCTCCCCATCAGAAGGACCCGCTGCTCCACCCAGAGCTGCTTAGGAACACAGAGAGACAGCAGGCCATACTGAAGAGCCTCTCAAAGCTACGGCAGGTATCTGTATTACACCTAGCACACACCTATTCCATATTCTAGATTTTCAGTGTCTTCTGTGCCATTCTCCACCCTTCTCCTCAGTGAGCTCTCCTTCACTCTAAAGTAAAAAGCAAGCATGTGTTAATGGCCCCCTCCCCTTGTTTCTTACACCAGTCCATTTCTTTTAAATCCACGAGGGAGAGTAATTGAGTGAACACTTCAGGGAGAGAGTAGAGAATCTGAAAGTAGGCGGGAGGAAATAACTCACAAGCACTGTCATTTGATTCCAGGGTTTGTTACAGAAGCAGAAAGAGCTGGAGACAGGACTGAACCCTTTGTTGATCGTTGCTGAGGACCACCACTGACCTCCTCTACTACACGTGACCCACAGCCTCATGTCCAAAGGCACAAAGGCCCTAGTAAACACTCAGGTTGTGCAACTGATGTACAAAGCATTTGACAACGGTTTGTGATAGCATTGTTGTGCAGACAAACTCAAGATATCCATTGTATCACAATCGTTGTGTTGAATGTGCTGTATAACTGGAGTGTGTATTACGCAATTCTGAACTGGAGCATACATACAGCACTTTACCATTATGATTGAACTGACATCTTAGTTTGTAAAGAGTATTTAAGCAAAAGTTGGCACTTTACTGACCACATTGTAGATATGAAATAGAATGTAATGGCCTGTGTGTGAGTGGCTATGATTGTAGTGTTGGTATTTGTGATCACTTGATATGTAGTGGTACTTTTGCTGCCATAGAATAGAGTACCACAGTATGAGTCATAGTACCCATAAAGCCTAGCGGGCAAACAGGGAAATGGTTCCAATTATTTTTCCCATAGGGAATTTTAGAAAGACTTAAGGGCTGTTTCGTATAGGTTTACCCTGGCGTGACGTTTTGATAACTATGTAAAACTCTTGGACAAGGGGACTTAATCAATATATTCTCCTGTATTTACCCCCAAAAATGAAATGCTAATTTGTTGCTAATGTGGCTATCATAAAGAACTACAAATGTCAAGATGATCTGGACGAGACTGTCAAATCGAGGCAAAAGTAAGAATCCCTGGATTAACTATCTAATGTTAGCTAAATGTAGTAATGAATAAATTGGCTACATTTCTTCAAATGGACAATTCTGTGAAGTGTCTTGTGCAAGTTTTAAATTGACCGGTTATCAAAGGTGTCAGCTAGAGATGACGTGCAGGAGCTTGGGAATATATTTCTAATTCTTTTTATTTATTCGTTTTAGATCACAATATAATCACATGATATACATTTACCCCCCCCCCCCAGCCTAAAAATAGTTAACCCAAACAGGCCAACAATCAGCATTTCATAAGACACTAATACATTCAGCCGAATATAGTAAGTCCACTTGTCAGAGAGAGATTTACAGTAACTCTACATGAAACACAGCCCTTATTTTAAGTGTTTCTAAAATACCCTATGGGGAAAAATGACTTGTTTGACTGCTAGGTTTTATGGGTATTATGACACTTCCACTGTGGGACGCTGTTAGTTTATTTAGAAACTTCGAAGGGACCTGATGTCATCTAATGACCATGTGTATCAATTCTGTTATTTAACAAACTCATTTAAAATGTACTGTGTTGTGTGAATAAAATTATTTTTTAAATATACAATTATTTAAAGGGTAACTTTTTATTTTGTTCAAATGTCCGGATTTAAGTCAGTGCTAGTTGAAATAATAAAACAGAGCCAAACAAGAACGCCATCATTTTGACAAGCATGTTTTAATACTAACAAAGTTGTGTAAAAAATAACATTTAAGATAAAAACCACTGGTTTTCTGTACAAGGCCACATGGCTACAAAACCAAAAAAGGTACAATGATATTAACTTAGGCCTAGATGAAATCAGATCAAGCGTTGCATAGCAGATGGTTTGGCGGCGTTGAAGGTTGAACTGGGCGATAATTGTCACAAAGCCACACCTGCCCCACTCCCATTAGAAGTTCAGAATGAGAACGTGTAGGCTATATAGAAATAATTACGCTCAAATTGAAAAATAATGAAGATTTCTATCAGCCTAATCAAGGTGTAGATTACATCTCACATTCCAGTGTTAGAATTTGTAAACAAGGCTGCATGGGATTTCTCTTAATGCGACTCCATGCAGCCAATTGCAATGTCCGCTTCAGGTGTAATGCCAGGAGCCGCTTGTGAATTTGACAGCTCTAACACAGTTCCACCTCAAAACATCGCCAAAACAACCGCTACGCAGACGTCGGCTAAAGTGGATATGATTGAATCCAGCCCCTACACAAACAAACAAACAAACAAACAAGTAATAACCAAAAAGTTTTTCCTAGAAAATACAAATATAATCGTTTCGTTTTACAAGATCTGACATGTTAGTGAGTAGCATCGCCAGCCCACAGCTGGCTTTACCTTCATCTGGTGGAGAAAAAAAAAGTTATTTAATGTCAAGTCTGTTGAAGCGCTTCTTTCGGATCATAAACAAAGATTCACTACTGGGGCCTGTTCGGGACAGGAGGGTGCAATTTTACATTGTTCAGTTAGAAAAATGTTAATGTATAGAACAGATTGGACTATCCGTGAAGTAGGTAGTCGTGCTGGCTGCTCTATCCATTGGGGCACAACAGAAAACGAAAATGAACATCCAGGTAGTTCCTCCCTGTTTCACTCAGTGTTTTCAGGTTGATACCTACTGAACACAACCCTCGTTTGTTCACACGGCCGTTCGTCACCGCTTCCAAGGGCCATTCCCACGCCCCTGGTTAGCTGTCTGGTTACCCCCCCAGGGGTGATGAGGGTTCCCCATCAGTCGAGGAGGGAAGGTGTGGCCCCCCAGCCCCATGTTCTGGTGCTGAAGGGCCCATAGACAGGACTCGGGCCCCCCTGCCTGGCCCATCCTAGCCCATGCCATGGCGTTAGGCATCAATGCTCTGATACCTCCCAGTCCTGCAGGTCCTTCCAGCCTGTTCAACATGGGCCGTTGCAATACGCTCATGCCATGGTTGTGCATATTGAGGTTGCTGTTAAGGAACAGTGTATTAGGCATGGGTAACAAGCCGTTTCTCTGCTGCTGTCTGGCTGCCTGTGCCAGTCTGTCTGCAGCTGCCGCTATGTTATCCCCAACACCACCATGCCGGGGGGCTGCTGCCCTGGGACCAGGAGGACCAGGGAGGGGGCTGCTAGGGGCCTCGTCAGTCATTCCTCCTCCCCCCTGGAGGCTGCCTGCCACTGGGCTGGGTTTAGTGTTCTCCCCCTGGGTCCTTGGAGGCTCAGGGCCGTGGGGGTCGTTAGCGTTGCTGGGTGTGGCTCCTGACTCTCCGTGGCCCTCAGTGACAATGCCAGCTATAGGACCCCGGTGGCTGCTGAAAGCGTTCAGTCTGTCCTGGGAGCCACACAGAGACATGTCACTGGTCACCTCAGCACCACCAGTTCCACTCAGACCCAGCTTAGAGTGGAGGGAGGAGAGGGTAGCTTCTTCGGCCTGCCATGTGGGAGTCAGTCCCACTTTCTTGTGTATTCCAGCAGGGGACTGGCTGGAGAGGAGAGAGACAGGGGCAGGAGTGAGGAGGCCAGGACCAGGGGTGAGACCAGGGGCAGGAGTGAGGAGGCCAGGACCAGGGGTGAGACCAGGACCAGGGGTGAGGAAATTAACTCCAGAGTCCCCTAGACCCCCCGGTGAGTCTGTACCCAGGCCAGGAATCCTTGGTCCTGGTGGGGAGTCTGGTCCCTCCCCCTCCACCTCTGGAGGTGCCATCTGTGACCGAGCAGCCTTATCAGCCTTGAACTGAGAGATGGCCTCCTTCAGGGCCTGGAAGTTGAGCTCCATGGGGGTCCCCGCATCAGGGACCAGCTGGTCGGGGAGGGGCGGACGGAAGTCGTCCTCGTTCAGCGGAGTGGACAAGCGGTCCACCAGGCGATCTGGGGAGGAGGGGGAGTCCAGGAGGATGGGTTCCTCCAGCACACGCTTTTCCTCTCGGACTGTGGATGGAAAATACAAAAGGTTTCAATAGTCAGGGTTGTGGGTAAATTGTAAAACATTGGGAAGGGCAGAATTGTTCTGTGCTCTAGAGATCATGTTTAGATGCCTCTTTTACCCAAAAAAGCTACGAAAACAATATGATTCTGTGATATGCTATTGGCCAACAGCATTTCCTGACCATGTGACCTGACCAGAACAAACTCTGGGCCTTAGTTACAGGCTATGGTCAGTGGAAAAACTCCTGTTCCTAAATATGACCCATACTAACTACCTGTGGTAGCTGCAGCTATGAGGTCCTCTGAGGTAGACCGCTTGTCTCTGATGTCATGGAAACCAACTAGGCCACCGAAGTTGTGCATGATGTCGTTGATGTTGGCGATGACGATGCCAGTGCTGGAGTAGTGGGGGAACATCTCGTAGTGGCTCTCTGGAACAGAAAAACAAAGAGAAGCATTAGTTTAGTGTGTGTGTGTGTGTGTGTGTGTGTGTTACCTGTGAGGGAAATGTGTCTTTGCCGGATGTACCAGGCCTGCAGCTTGATCACAGTCTAGGTAGTGTGTGTGTGTTACCTGTGAGGAAGATGATGTGTCGTTGCTGAATGTGCTGTGCTTGCAGCTTGAGGAGACAGTCCAGGTCGGGGGCGGGGCGAGACGGAGCATCACACTCATGGTACGGCAGGAACTCCACAATGTTCTTCTTTTGGTACGTGGTCAGCAGGTTCAAGATCTTCCTGGCTTCACTTTTAAACCTGGATGGGGACAGAGATCAGGAGGATATCAGTTCAATCAAATCTGAGAAGTTAGGGGGAAAATTTTGAACAGAAATTCTACTTATTTCATTAAAGGGCCAATCAGCTGTTGAAACAAAGCGTACTCACCGCCACTGTTTTGGTAAAAAGCTTAGGGATGGGCCTGGAGAAAATGTAATCCCTCAAATTCTTGGACAGAGCTATGGATGCAAGGACTGAACCTCTATGATATCAAAGCATGGGTCCTCAGATCCTCAAAAAGTTATACAGCTGCACCATCAAGAGCATCCTGACTGGTATGGCAACTGCTCGCCCTCCGACCGCAAGGCACTACAGAGGTTAGTGCGTACGGCCCAGTACATCACTAGGGCCAAGCTTCCTGCCATCCAGGACCTCTATACCAGGGGGTGTCAGAGGAAGGCCCTAAAAATTACCTTGACTAAGCGGTGCCCCCACACATTGACTCTGTACCGGTACCCCCTGTATATAGCCTGTATATTGACTCTGTACCGTTACCCCCTGTATATTGACTCTGTACCGGTACCCCCTGTATATAGCCTGTATATTGACTCTGTACTTATCTATTGATTACTTAAGTTATTTCTCTTAAAACTGCATTGTTGGTTAGGTCTTGTAAGTAAGCGTTTCACTGTAAGGTCTACACCTGTTGTGTTCGGCGCATGTGACAAATACAATTTGATTTGACCATTTTAACCATGTTTTGAGGACTGAACCTCCATGATATCAACATTATCGTTTTAACCATGTTTTGAGGACTGAACCTCCATGATATTAACATGATCGTTTTGAGGACTGAACATCCATGATATCAACATGAATCGTTTTGAGGACTGAACCTCCAATGATATCAACATGATCGTTTTGAGGACTGAACATTCCATGATATCAACATGATCGTTTTGAGGACTGAACATCCATGATATCAACAATGATCGTTTTGAGGACTGAACCTCCATGATAATCAACATGATCGTTTTGAGGACTGAACATCCATGATATCAACATGATCGTTTTGAGGACTGAAACATCCATGATATCAACAGGACGTTTTGGAGGACTGAACATCATGATACAACATGATCGTTTTGAGGACTGAACATCCATGATATCAACATGATCGTTTTGAGGACTGAACATCCATGATATCAACATGATCGTTTTGAGGACTGAACATCCATGATATCAACATGATCGTTTTGAGGACTGAACATCCATGATATCAACATGATCGTTTTGAGGACTGAACATCCATGATATCAACATGATCGTTTTGAGGACTGAACATCCATGATATCAACATGATCGTTTGAACCATGTTTTGAGGATTTACACTGTTTGTTTGCATTTCCATTGTTTACAAACATTGAAGTTAAACAAACTTATATTTTAGGTTCTGATGGGGTACGACAGTTAAACTAAGCTCATAAGGCATTTATAAGTTATATTCTTCAAGAATCAATGGGTACATATAATTAATTTATAAGTCCAAAAATGTATGTAGCAATTGCTGATTGCCCCTTTTAAGTCATTCTGGATAAACATGTACTCTGCTAAATGACTAAAATGTCAAATGTAGTTAAGTCTTAGTTCAGAGTTTAGTGCATACTACAGTTTCACCAACGCAACAAAAACTGCCTTCGAGTTTGTTCATAATCATTTTATGTTGGAGCTATTGAACATTGACCATTTAAAAAGCACCAGTACCTGGATTGTTCCTTCAGTTTCTTCTGGGTCTTCCAGTGGACCCTCCACCTCCACAGGCTCTCCGCTGAGTTCTGTTGGTCCAGGAACATCAGAATCACCCGCAGACGCTCTACAACACAACATGTTACTCAGTTACTTCATCTTCTAAAAACGTGCATGTAAAACCCCTGCTGGTCAACAATAAGAAAACTGGCAGTTGGTCAAGTCCCAATTTGGCCATGCGCCAGTCCCAGACACACTGGACACACGTTGTGAGTATCCTCTTGGCTCAACGTCTACCCAAAGCCAGAGAAGCAGGTGGGTTGTCTTCTGAGTCCATCCCTCTAAAACGCAGACTCACCGTGAGTGATGTATTCGGGGTTGAGGACAAACTCGTCTGAGACGACGAATCCTCCGGAAACAAACAGCTCGTTGTAGGTGTGGTTCTTCACATCGTCCAGACTGTCTACTCCAGCAAAGATCACCGACGGCTGCCTCTTCAGCTGCACCAGCGCCGGGATCTGACCACCACACGCATACCAGCATGATTAACTTAATGACACCTTATTAATAACACCTTAGAGCTGTTACTGATGTTGTGAACTGCCAATAGCGGAACAGTAGGTCAACTTTCTTTCATTAAAACAAAGAAGATGCCAAGCATGTTAGTTACCAGGTCCGCGTTCAGCAAGGCACAACGTTGTGGGACGTTCTGATATATTACGTAGAAATAATAATGTCATAGAAATGTCATGACTAGAACTGATATCGTTAATATTATTGTAGTGTACCTTATGAATGTGCGCTGCAATGTCCTTGTTCTGGATGAGAACCATTAGTTTGTCCATCCGGTTCTCTCTCTCCAGGAAACTCACAGGACTGCGTTCCACGTTCCCCAACCTCTGCAGGTACTCCTAGTGGGACAACAGAGAAACAAGTTCAGTTTCATACATTGATGCTGCTACAATACACACACATTTAAACATGCAATGAAAAGAGAGAGCTTGGTGTGTGTGTGACTACATGTGTACGCCCCAGACCCCATTCAATCATTCCAATGTATTTATAAAGCTCTTTTTACATTAGCAGTTGCTTTACAATAACCTTGATGTGGTGGGAGACCTCCCTCTCCCCCTCCTGTGTGTGGATGTAGAACTGGACAGAGTTCTTCTGGACATCCTTTATAATCTCCACCAGGTTACTGAACAACTCCGGCTTCAGCTGGCTGATCAGACTACTGATGGCTAAAGGGGGGGCGGGACCTGGCCCAGGCTCTACCACTGGCCCTCCCACCCCTGACAAACTGTCAATCATCTGAGTGCGAGGAGGGGGAGCCTCCACATTGGCTGCTGAAACCGGCTGATCCACCATTATGACATCGTCTTTTGATTCAAACATGGCACTTGTTTGCGGCTTGCACTTTGCTCGTAGCCCTCGGACATCCAAGTCAGGGTTCTGTGTTGTGTTTGTCCACTTATTTGCTTTTGACATATCACTTGGTTTGCAGGTTCCCAGTCTCCCGTCTGAGTCAGGGTTCTGTGTTGTGGTTGTCCACTTATTTGCTTTTGACATATCACTTGGTTTGCAGGTTCCCAGTCTCCCGTCTGAGCCAGGGTTCTGTGTTGTGGTTGTCCACTTATTTCCTTTTGACATATCACTTGGTTTGCAGGTTCCCAGTCTCCCGTCTGAGCCAGGGTTCTGTGTTGTGGTTGTCCATTGGCTGTCCAGTGGTTGGAGGGGCAGTGGCGCTAGACTGGAGCTGAGTTGAGGTAGGCCCGTCTGTGTCTGGGGTGGGTTGTTGTAGAGAGTAGGAGGACAGGCCGTGCCGGGAAACAATGAAGAGGGAATCGTTGCACTATTATTATTATTACTATTAAAATGAGATTCAGCTGAGTGAAACTGAGACACAGGTAGAGAACTGTAAGAGTTTGAGCTATCAAGACCAGGGGCAAACAGCGTAGGAGAGTGACGACTTGGGACAGACTGAGACACAGCAAGGCTAAGGCCAGGAGCAGGAGAGAGGCGGTGGCTGGGGACAGACGGAGACTTAGTGCCACAGAGAGAAGGGTTCCAGTTGTATGTAGTGGTAGGAGGAGCGTGGTCAGCGTGGTGGTGGTTAGTGTTAGATGAGACCAGGGCAGGGTGGGTGGCTAAGATGGGTGGGTGGCTAACGTGGTTAGTGTTAGATGAGACCAGGGCAGGGTGGGTGGCTAACGTGCTGGGAATCCATTGCTCCTGTGTGTCTATGATGGTGCCCATGCGGTCTCGGAGCGAGGAGACGTAGGCCTGCATGGGAGGGGAGGAGTTGTAGAAGGAGACGTACTCTGAGAAGTGCAGGAGCAGAGGCACCAGGAGCTGCTGTGGAGCATTCTGGGTATGGAGGAGCGGTGAGTTGTAGTGGACGCTCTCTCTGAGCAGGAGGATCTGCATCTCTGTGGAGAAGTCACTGAACTGCTGGTCCAGGATACCTTCCACTCCGGTCAGAACGGGCCTCTGGACAGGAGGATTCTGGACGGGAGGAGGATTCTGGACGGGAGGAGGATTCTGGACAGGAGGAGGATTCTGGACAGGAGGAGGATTCTGGACAAGAGGAGGATTCTGGACAAGAGGAGGATTCTGGACAAGAGGAGGATTCTGGACAAGAGGAGGATTCTGGACAAGAGGAGGATTCTGGACAAGAGGAGGATTCTGGACAAGAGGAGGATTCTGGACAAGAGGAGGATTCTGGATGGGTTGGCGATTATGGACAGGAGGAATGGGGGAGGGTGGTCTGGGTGACACCTGCTCTGTCTGTTTAGACTCTGTCTCCACCTCCTCTTCCACATGTTTGTTCTCGTCCTCCACCAATTCCCCTTCCTCCAGCTGCTCCTCCACTTCCATCACCACGTTCTCCTCCTCCACATCATCTTTCTCTTTCACATCCTCCGTCACCTGTTCCTCCTCATCTACCACTTCCATCACATCTTCCTCCTCCTCCACTTCCTCAGTCACCTGTTCCTCCTCCTCTCTCTCTTCAACAACCTCCTCTTCCTGTTCAACCTCCATTGTTCTTCGGTCTTCAAATGCCACAACAGTTGGTATATATTTTCCTGTGCTGCCTTCAGGTTGTTCCTGGCCAGCCTCCACGGGGCTAGGGTTAGTATGGGTTGGTTCTTCAGCTGGCCCTGGCTCAGGGGAGGGGGATGGGTAGCTGCTTTTCTCTGGAAGGCTGGTGCTCTCTGGAGTAACAGGGATCTGAAGGAGGCTCTGGTTTGTCTTGTCTGTGGTTGTCTTTTCGTTGTTGGTTATTTCTGTGGGGTCACAGGGGGTTTCAGCTAATTGCTCATCATCCTCTATGGGACTGGGGCAGGGACTGGGGTAAGGACTGGGGTAGGGACTGGGGTAGGGACTGGGGTAGGGACTGGGGACGGGGCTGTGCTCTTCTGGCTCCTCTAGGGGAGGACTGGGGCTAGGCTCTGGGGGCTCCTCTAGCGTAGGGGTGAAGTTTCTTTCCCTTCGCTCCGGAACACAGGGGGGGTAGCTGCTGGTTGCCATGGGGATCTGGGGTACGAAGCGTGGGTCCTGAGGGTTGTCCTTCTCTCTCTGGCAGTACTTCTTTGACTTCAACCCTGCACAGGAGGAAAAGGTATTACAAAATATCATAATAGTTTCACATATCACATATCAGCAAGATCCGCTTCTCACAGAAATGTAAATCAATTTATATTTCTTTACACATATTTAAAAAACAGTCTTCCTGGTATTTTCTTATTGTGGTACGTGAGTGATGGTGCTGAGAAAGTAGGATAGTCAGATTCGCTGCACATGCTGTCACCCGTTAGACTACTAGCTACTGCTACTCACAGGTAGCCTATGGAAGAGTGACTGCACCTCGCACCTGCAGCTTTTCTATTGGCAGGTTTACAGTCCTACTAGCCCAGACAGTTAGCCCCCTCACTAGCCCAGACAGGTTAAGCTATCTATACCTCATTATTTAGCAGCCTACTATCCTCAGAAAGTTTGTCAGGCTACTATCCTTCAGCAGTTTAGCTACCTACTAGCCTCAGACAGGTTTAGCAGCCTACTAGCCCCAGACAGGTTTAGCAGCCTACTAGCCTCAGACAGGTTTAGCAGCCTACTAGCCTCAGACAGGTTTAGCAGCCTACTATCCTCAGGCAGGTTTAGCAGCCTACTAGCCTCAGACAGGTTTAGCAGCCTACTAGCCTCAGGCAGGTTTAGCAGCCTACTATCCTCAGACAGGTTTAGCAGCCTACTAGCCTCAGACAGGTTTAGCAGCCTATTTGAAGTACGCAAGACAAGAGATAGCCTTGCCCCCCGTTCTTCACTTGAGCGCACAGAAAAATGATCTAATACTGACTTTATTTGAGGAGGAAAATTCTAATGAAACATTTTACAGGTTTGAATGTACTTTCTGTATCTATAGATAGCTAACGCGAGAGTCTTACTGAGTTAAAAATGGCAGACTGATTTTAATTCAAAATAGCCCAAAATAGTATGTTGACTGACTTCGTATAATTTTAGGCTAGCCTACTTGTTTGTGTTGCTAAAATAATGTCAGCTGTGTAGCATATAACACAATCAGACTTAGCAATATACTATTTTGTAATATAGGCCTAATGAGCTAAACACTTATTTTCAATCCAACTAAAAAATAAATAAATAAAAATCTAATATCTGTCGCTATTTTAGGCTATTTGTCCTTTTGATTGTCTGCGTTTATTGTTGCCTAAGGCTGAGCCGATGCATGTGCCCGTCACGGGCGGATCCGGATTGGTCAGGAAGCCAATCGAGCACATGGTGAAAAATGAAGGTGGCTGTCTCGAGGGCAAACGGTTGACCTTCCTTTCCTCCGAAGAGGCCGACCTTGTGTAAGCGATGTCACGTGAACCTGGTATCCCAAGCAGAGCTGGTCGGAGGCTTGGTCATTGCAGAAGAAAAAGGTCTTAGCCTATATAGAGCTTCCGCGATTCTATACTCTACATGCCCGAGAAACACCAAGTCTGTTCTACATAGCATACACTGCGTGTACAAAACATTAGGAACACCTTCCTAATATTGAGTTGCACCCCCTTTTGCACTCAGAACAGCCTCAATTGTTGTGTCTCCAACTGTGACAGGCTTGGACGTAGAGGGGCCTCGGGAGGGGGCTGCGCATTACGGTGTCCTCTGTAGACCAGTCCTCGGCAACTATTGCAAGACTCTGGATTATTGAACAAGGCTTGGGCACGCTCGACCCCCCGTCAGGCGACACAGAGGGGATGGGATAGTCCATCCTTACCTGTGATGGGGATGAGGACCCATGGAATCTGCTCCTCCCCCTGATATTGTGAGTGCGATCTCCTGGGCATTTCACCGTTGGAACTGGGGCTGAAGCCCTCCAGACTGCTCACGCTGCCTGCTGCCTGCTCCTACACACACACACACAGAGACAGACAGAGAGACACACACATGAGAATACAATGTCATGTACACATAGGACACACCCATATTGCACTTGGATTTACAGTAATTGAATTCATACTGATAGCTCCTAAGTGATTTATTTGTGAAATCACTGTTGGAAGCATATCAGAGTTGGGGATATCATCTTTGAAGTGATAATGCCAGTTTAGTTCAGTACCTCTAAGTACTCAGACTTGTCCTGCAGGCCCCCAGAAGGTCGTTTCCTCAGGTCAATGTCCTGATTGGGCGGCAGACCCAGCTTGATCATCCTATCAAACAGCAGAGCTTCAGTTTGCTCCGTCCCTTCTCTTGACCCTCCTCCTCTCCCCTCAGAACCCTGTGGATGTTGACCTGCAGCATTCTTCAGGCTGGTTAACATTTTCAGTAACTTGACAGCAGCCTCTGATCCGTCTCTCCTTAGGTCCACGTCTCTCAGACCCACACTGTGGAGCATCAGAGAGGACAGACAGGACTGGCTCTGGCCCCCTTCAGCTAGAGGGAGGAAGTGAGAACAGAAGATAGATTGGGATCAACTCAAGATGTAATGTATCTGTTTTGCTAGGAGTGTCAGGAAGTTGCCCATAGACACACTTGAGAGCCTAGATCTAAGAGAAGCTTGACATCAACATGCTTTCCTTATGCCTAGGCAGGCTAGGAGTTTATCTGACCTGTCAAGGGAAAACTCTGGGACCTATGTTATCCCAAAGACAGTGCCACAGTATTGAAGCAATTCCAAGGCACCACGACCCCTCAGTAAGGCCTATCATACCTGGTCTGCTGTCCACTCCACCCCTCTCCTGTGAGGCCCTTTTCAGGTACTTCAGAGTCCTCTCTGCAGTCTCCCTCTCCAGCTTCCTCTTCAGCCCACGGGGGTCCAACGGCCCTGCCCCCTCCTTCGCTCCTCCCTGCGCCTCCCCTCTCTTCCTCACATCACCCTCTGCGTTCTTCCGACACTTCAGGATCAGGTTGATCAGCTCCTTCACCTTCTGAGGGTTGGAGTCAGTAGGAGACTGAAAAGGAGAGAGGTTGACCTGGACCGCAGGGGGCTGGGCAGCAGTGGCACCATTAGGCTCGACCTCCGACCCTACCACTGGCTTGTTCCCGCTGGCCCTACTGCCACCCTCCCAGTCAGTCACAGGGCTGTTGTCATCAAGCACGACGCAGTAACTCTCCATGATCTCCTTGGCTCGGACCACGGGCATGGTGAAAAGGTTAGGGCTGTAGACGTAGGAGCGCAGGTAGCCCTCCATGTTGAGCTTATGGTGTTTTGGAGCCGGGAAGAGCTTCCCCCGGTCATCCAGCTTGGCGTCGTACTCCGTCATGGGAACGTGGCGGAGCTAGAGAGGAGATGATGAGATGATGCAGTACTTTACCGTCTGCTTGCATGGAAAATCACTAGCTCCATGTCATACAGAAAGCTACACAGTATAACACACATAATAGATCATCAATAACATACACCTTATGGCTGTCTTTGCACCATGTGGGAAAAACTTTGACTAGACAGAAATCTAGTCAAAACATAACATTTAAATCAATATGATATATTTAAGCAATAAGGCCAAAGGGGGTGTTGTATATTGGCCAATATACCACAGGTTTCAGCCAATCAGCATCCAAACTACCTGGTTTATAATATCATATAATTATCATACTGTCACACATTTATACCTTTCCATCGTGAAGTCCACTTAGATAGTCCCTGGCCTGGTGCTCGACCCCGGCCGAGAGGTCAGCGGGCGGGTTGGAGCGCACCTTGACCAGGGCGTGATGCAGGGCCGGGACAAAGCTGTTCAGCTGGGGCATCACAGTGTCAGGGGAGGATGACGACTGCAAAGGCTCCTGGGTAGCTGGAGAATTTGTACTGTATTTTGTCACATCCCTCGACTCTTGAAAAACGAAGAGCGCTTGAAGGCCTCTTTTCCACCCGTCTCTTCTTTCTGAAAAACACAAAAACACAAATCATTACTGGAGCAATTACCTCCTTCACAGTTTTAGTACAACATACTTTCTACTCTGACCTACCAGCCGGAGCAGCCATCTGAACTGAAGACAGGAGGAAGAGGAATCCTTTGTCAGCCAATGCGTGGACAAGCACCTGCACATAGAAGAGGTGTTAGAGCAGGCCGGGAGCAAAAGCCTGCATTCTCAGTAGCCCTCCAGGAGGACCTGGACCTGGACCTACCAGTCTCTGTGTCTCCAGGCCTTGTAGTAGTGCTGCCAGACGGTCTCCCGACTTGCTCTTATTCACCACCTCCAGCAGGCTGCAGTAGATTCCATTCTTCAACACTAGAATAGCCAACACACACACACACAGATGTTACAGAAGAGACGTTAGAAGCCCTGTGAATAGCAGCGACTCTTCTTCAAATTGCTGGTTGGTTATGGCAGGAACAGCGGAGTATTCAAGACACATTAAAATATCACTGTGAAATCTACACCGCACAAGTAGAAAGACAACAGGTACCCACCCCTATGTTGTACAACGTGGAAGCATAGATCGCAGTGTGCACTAACTTTTCACTGAACATAATGTATATATTACCACTGTGTGTGTCATGTGTTCCCTCCTGTAAGGTGTACCTTCGTGGCTGCCTGCGTACAGGTTCCAGGAGAACAGAGCTGAGGGGATCATCTGATTCACCTGGTCGATACACATCACTAGACCCAGATCCAGCTTCTCAGGCCTACAGACGGACGGACACACAAAAGAGACACAGGTTCATTTACTAACACTGAATCCTCCTCACGTGGACACCTTTAGACTTAACGTGGCTAAAAAGCAAACGTTATGAATAAATACATAAAATGGTGACTTCATTAACAAGTTGACATTGATTTGTAAAACAGGTCACATGACTCACAGTTTGAAAGGCAGGAAGGGGGGCGAGAAGGAACAGAAGGAGACGTGGGACACGGCCCTACCCTCATTCACCAGCTCTCCACTCCACACTGTGTATTTACTCCTGCCTGTAGACACAGGGACGTGACAGCCATCAGTAAATAACACAAACACAGTGGAAGTCGCTCTGTATACGAGCACTGCTCAATGACTACAATTTTTTAAAACCCACCGTATTTTTAAAGCCATTCATGAATTAGTCTCAAAAGATATGGATTACCTGTACTTCCTTCAGACGTTTGGCTGTTTGACCTGATGGGGAAGGAAAACTAAATCATTTGCCTAACATTGTCACATGAACACATATATACCTGTATTAGGATATAATTAAACCAAAAGGTAGTCCACAGCCTGTCGTTTCCAATGGGAACTAATGAGTCATAGTGGGCAGAACAAGCAAGGAGGTGGGCAGAGCCAAGCATGAGCTAGGGAGATCCTATTGGACCATTTTAGCATGCATCTACATATTTCCGCTAGGGAACGCCTACTCTGTGAAGTGCGCAATAACTCAATTTGCCTTTAAACTCCTTGTAAATAACGCAATTTTTAACAACTTTGGCAAAGTGTAAAGTCCACAAAACATAGTCCTCTGTGTTCGTAACCGATTCTAGTTTTGGGAACAGAAAACTGTATGGAGATCAAATGTTTCATCGATGAGAAAATGTGCAGAATGTCGGCCAAAATCCATCTCCTCCCACTGCCGGCCATTGGGCTTCCTCTCCCTACCATATTTGGTAGTGAGTGGAAACGCCAAGCGGATGCTTCACATTTATACATCCGGTAAAATACCCGTCTCATTGTTCTATCTGTGCTGGAGTACCTTAGGGGAGCCATGGGCTTGGCTTGAAGAGGAGCATCTTTGCCTTTGAACTGGAAAGAGACCACTGCATAGGGACACACATGCCTCGGACGAGACTTCAGCTCATCAAAGTCATACTCATAGAAGTATTGCTGTGGGGGGAAAAAGCAAACAAACAGGACAGAATGGGACTTCTGGTATGAAGAGACAGTATGATGACTTAAACAAGAAACCTTAATGCCGCACTTGCATTTCAGTTTGATTTACAGATGTTTGTTTTCCAAACAAACAGAATATCAGTAAGTAACCGGTATAACACATCTACTGAGCCCTATCCTCTACACACAATGTTGTTAATACCAGCATTTACCTGAGTAAGCTCGTAAGCTCTATAAGAGGTGAGAGATGTCACTTTGCTGGCGTTCTTGGAGAAATGGCTGTCAAACTTGGGCGTGGGGTCCAGAAGGTTCTTTGACATGTTCTCATAGATGCTCTTCACTTTACCCTGTGTGTGTGTGTGTGTGTGTGTGTGAGTGTGTGTGTGTGTGTGTGAGAGAGAGAGCACTTTCATTTACATGTTCAAAACGGCCTTGAATTTTTCCTGACCACGTAAGGACGACAAACCTTTTGAGAAAAACAACAACGATGGTCGTTTCTTACCCTGATGACCTTGAATATGATGATCTCTCCCATGACTCCAGGGTTAAAGGGATTGATCTGCAGTAAGTCTGAGTTTTTAGACAGATAAACACCTGAAAGACAAAACAGAAACAATTCAGTCTTATTCCTCCTTATAACTGTTTTACTATCCCAATATTTTTTTCTACAATTAGCCTCACTTCAGTTTAGAAATCTCTGTATTACACATACCAACTTCAATAACTACACCAAAGATACATTGCCAACACTTCGTCAGGTTTAAATAACCCAAAAGTGCTTGGACGATGACCTTACCCTTGGCAGGGTTCCCCAGAGCTGTGATCCAGCTGTGCCCCACAAGCAGGCCCTTCTCACAGATCCATGGCAGCTATAACCAGGGGTATAACAGTATTATCATATGTAATATGTACACTCAATCGTACATAGAAATGTGTAAATACTACAGGTTCTTACCTTGGTGGCGTCAGCCATCAGGAAACAGTGGGTCTCCTCCAGCTCCTTCTCTGTCCTCCCATCCAGCTTCAGCTCCCTCCTTTTCTCTACAAACTGTCAATCAAACAATGATCGAAAAGATTAAAAAACATCTGCGCTGCAGATGAATGGCATTTCTGTATGATGTCACCCGGCCTAAAGCATTGCTTACATCCTTCTCCAGCAGTTCACTGTGGACCAGTCTTGGCTTGGTGTACATGAACATCCCGTTGGAGCTGGCTTCTCTGTAGTTGGAAGACAGGACAGTCAAGATGTCTTCAAACTCCCGGGACTCTGACGACACATACTGGAACAAGGCTGTTGGAGACAAGAGACAATCACAATTTATTTGTCCCGTGACAAAATAATGCATAATCTAGAATCAAGCACAAAATATTGGCCCACACATACACAGGGTTTGAAAGTAACTCTTTTTAGCCACTTGTCCTTTAGACAAGTACAACAGTTTTTTTTACTTTTCCGAAAGCTCAAGTCACATCTCCAAAAATAAAAAAATGGTCTGAAAAGTGAAAATGGTTTTGTATGATGCAAGGAACCACTTTAATGAATAACATTCATTATTATCATTATTTGGCCTATCACCACACAGAGATTAATTATTATCATTATTAGGTCCATCACCATAAAGAGATTCATTATTATCACTATTAGGCCTATCACCATACAGAGATTCATTATTATCACTATTAGGCCTATCACCATACAGAGATTCATTATTATCATTATTAGGTCCATCACCATACAGAGAATCAGACAAAAATGTAGGCTACTCTCTGCTTATTGGCTTCTTTGCATATTCAAGCCGGTATCAAAATACAACACAGCCCCTTCAAGGCTCTCCTGACGGTTGGTTGGCCACCATTCATAGGCTATGACATATTTCATTTTTTAAATTACAACCAAATATGTTTTGTTTTATTTCTTTATAAAATAATTTCCTCAATCAATGAATCTGGGATCAAATGGCTAAAGTAGGCTACTTCAAAGCAAGGTAACTAATGAAGATGTTTATTTATAACCTTGTAAGGCTTAAATATTCAGGTTTCAGAGGAGATCTATTGACAGCATGGGAGATATTTTTCCATTAGGCTGTTCTAGGAATATATTTGAAAGTTGTCAGAATGACATGACCAATGTTGAATAGAGGGGAATCCCAGCTTTTCAACAGTGTTAGTAATTTCTCAGCTCCCAATATTGGGCGCTGGAGATGCTGTTTTACAACCGGAGTAGGCTAAGCATTGTTTTAATCAACAGAGTGTCGCCATTTAAGGTTATGCCGATGGAAAGTTTAGGATATCATACATGACAATTAGACTAATACATGATCATGGCTAAATAGTTAACTACTGAGATAACTTGCCAGCAGGGGCGCAACTTCCACTGGGGACTGTGTGATACATGTGATACAAAACGAGGCAACATTGTGCTTTAGGACCATGTGGATGCCTCCAAGTGGTCGGGTAGGCTGTTTGGAGTGTTTATCCGACTGGATAAAAAAAAAAAAAAAAAAAAGTATATATATATATATATATATATATATATATATATACACACACACACACACACACACACACACACACACACACACACACACACACACACACACACACACACACACACACACACACACACACACACACACACACACACACACACACACACACACACACACACACACACACACACACACACACACACACACACACACACACACACACACACAGTGGGGGAAAAAAGTATTTAATTGTGCAAGTTCTCCCACTTAAAGAGAGGCCTGTAATTTTCATCATAGGTACACGTCAACTATGACAGACAAATTGATTAAAAAAATTCCAGAAAATCACATTGTAGGATTTTTAATGAATTTATTTGCATATTATGGTGGAAAATAAGTATTTGGTCACCTACAAACAAGCAAGATTTCTGGCTCTCACAGACCTGTAACTTCTTCTTTAAGAGGCTCCTCTGTCCTCCACTAGTAACCTGTATTAATGGCACCTGTTTGAACTTGTTATCAGTATAAAAGACACCTGTCCACAACCTCAAACAGTCACACTCCAAACTCCACTATGGCCAAGACCAAAGAGCTGTCAAAGGACACCAGAAACAAAATTGTAGACCTGCACCAGGCTGGGAAGACTGAATCTGCAATAGGTAAGCAGCTTGGTTTGAAGAAATCAACTGTGGGAGCAATTATTAGGAAATGGAAGACATACAAGACCACTGATAATCTCCCTCGATATGGGGCTCCACGCAAGATCTCACCCCGTGGGGTCAAAATGATCACAAGAACGGTGAGCAAAAATCCCAGAACCACACGGGGGGACCTAGTGAATGACCTGCAGAGAGCTGGGACCAAAGTAACAAAGCCTACCATCAGTAGCACACTACGCCGCCAGGGACTCAAATCCTGCAGTGCCAGACGTGTCCCCCTGCTTAAGCCAGTACATGTCCAGGCCCGTCTGAAGTTTGCTAGACTGCATTGGGATGATCCAGAAGAGGATTGGGAGAATGTCATATGGTCAGATGAAACCAAAATATAACTTTTTGGTAAAAACTAAACTCGTTGTGTTTGGAGGACAAAGAATGCTGAGTTGCATCCAAAGAACACCATACCTACTGTGAAGCATGGGGGTGGAAACATCATGCTTTGGGGCTGTTTTTCTGCAAAGGGACCAGGACGACTGATCCGTGTAAAGGAAAGAATGAATGGGGCCATGTATCGTGAGATTTTGAGTGAAAACCTCCTTCCATCAGCAAGGGCATTGAAGATGAAACGTGGCTGGGTCTTTCAGCATGACAATGATCCCAAACACACCGCCCGGGCAACGAAGGAGTGGCTTCGTAAGGAGCATTTCAAGGTCCTGGAGTGGCCTAGCCAGTCTCCAGATCTCAAACCCATAGAAAATCTTTGGAGGGAGTTGAAAGTCTGTGTTGCCCAGCGACAGCACCAAAACATCACTGCTCTAGAGGAGATCTGCATGGAGGAATGGGCCAAAAAACCAGCAACAGTGTGTGAAAACCTTGAAGACTTACAGAAAACGTTTGACCTGTGTCATTGCCAACAAAGGGTATATAACAAAGTATTGAGAAACGTTTGTTATTGACCAAATACTTATTTTCCACCATAATTTGCAAATAAATTCATTTAAAATCCTACAATGTGATTTTCTGGATTTTTTCTCTCTCATTTGGTCTGTCATAGTTGACGTGTACCTATGATGAAAATTACAGGCATCTCTCATCTTTTTAAGTGGGAGAACTTGCACAATTGGTGGCTGACTAAATACTTTTTTCCCCCACTGTGTGTGTGTGTGTGTGTGTGTGTGTGTGTGTGTGTGTGTGTGTGTGTGTGTGTGTGTGTGTGTGTGTGTATATATATATATATGAGATATATATATATATATATATACACAGGTAAAAGTCAGTAAATTAGAATATTTTGAAAAACTTGATTTATTTCAGTAATTGCATTCAAAAGGTGTAACTTGTACATTATATTTATTCATTGCACACAGACTGATGCATTCAAATGTTTATTTCATTTAATTTTGATGATTTGAAGTGGCAACAAATGAAAATCCAAAATTCCGTGTGTCACAAAATTAGAATATTGTGTAAGGGTTACATTTTGAAGACACCTGGTGCCACAAAATAATCAGCTGATTAACTCAAAACACCTGCAAAGGGCTTTAAATGGTCTCTCAGTCCAGTTCTGAAGCCTACACAAACATGGGGAAGACTTCAGATTTGACAGCTGTCCAAAAGGCGACCATCGACACATTGCACAAGGAGGGAAAGACACAAAAGGTTATTGCAGAAGAGGCTGGCTGTTCTCAGAGCTCTGTGTCCAAACACATTAATAGAGAGGCAAAGGGAAGGAAAAACTGTGGTCAGAAAAAGTGTACAAGCGATAGGGATCACCGCGCCCTAGTCAAGATTGTGAAAAAAAAACCCATTCAAAAATGTGGGGGAGATTCACAAGGAGTGGACAGCTGCTGGAGTCAGGGCTTCAAGATCCACCACCAAGAGACGCTTGAAAGACATGGGTTTCAACTGCCGCATACCTCGTGTCAAGCCACTGTTGACCAAGAAACAGCGCGAAAAGCGTCTCACCTGGGCTAAGGAAAAAAAGAGCTGGACTGCTGCTGAGTGGTCTAAAGTCATGTTTTCTGACGAAAGCAAATTTTGCATTTCCTTTGGAAATCGAGGTCCCAGAGTCTGGAGGAAGACAGGAGAGGCACAGGATCCACGTTGCCTGAAGTCTAGTGTAAAGTTTCCACCATCAGTGATGGTTTGGGGTGCCATGTCATCTGCTGGTGTCGGTCCACTCTGTTTCCTGAGATCAAGGGTCAACGCAGCCGTCTACCAGCAAGTTTTAGAGCACTTCATGCTTCCTGCTGCTGACCTGCTCTATGGAGATGGAGATTTCAGGTTCCAACAGGACTTGGCGCCTGCACACAGCGCAAAATCTACCCGTGCCTGGTTTACGGACCATGGTATTTCTGTTCTAAATTGGCCAGCCAACTCCCCTGACCTTAGCCCCATAGAAAATCTGTGGGGTATTGTGAAAAGGAAGATGCAGAATGCCAGACCCAACAACGCAGAAGAGTTGAAGGCCACTATCAGAGCAACCTGGGCTCTCATAACACCTGAGCAGTGCCAGAAACTCATCGACTCCATGCCACGCCGCATTAATGCAGTAATTGAGGCAAAAGGAGCTCCAACCAAGTATTGAGTATTGTACATGCTCATATTTTTCATTTTCATACTTTTCAGTTGGCCAACATTTCTAAAAAATCCCTTTTTTGTATTAGCCTTAAGTAATATTCTAATTTTGTGACACACGGAATTTTGGATTTTCATTTGTTGCCACTTCAAATCATCAAAATTAAATGAAATAAACATTTGAATGCATCAGTCTGTGTGCAATGAATAAATATAATGTACAAGTTACACCTTTTGAATGCAATTACTGAAATAAATCAAGTTTTTCAAAATATTCTAATTTACTGACTTTTACCTGTATATATATATATATATATATATATATATATATATATATATATATATATATATATATATATATATCACATCACACACACATACATACATACATACACACATACACACACACACACACACACACACACACACAGTGGGGAGAACAAGTATTTGATAACCTGCAAAATCGCAGTGTTTCCTACTTACAAAGCATGTAGAGGTCTGTAATTTTTATCATAGGTACACTTCAACTGTGAGAGACGGAATCTAAAACAAAAATCCAGAAAATCACATTGTATGATTTTTAAGTAATTCATTTGCATTTTATTGCATGACATAAGTATTTGATACATCAGAAAAGCAGAACTTAATATTTGGTACAGAAACCTTTGTTTGCAATTACAGAGATCATACGTTTCCTGTAGGTCTTGACCAGGTTTGCACACACTGCAGCAGGGATTTTGGCCCACTCCTCCATACAGACCTTCTCCAGATCCTTCAGGTTTCGGGGCTGTCGCTGGGCAATACGGACTTTCAGCTCCCTCTATTGGGTTCAGGTCTGGAGACTGGCTAGGCCACTCCAGGACCTTGAGATGCTTCTTACGGAGCCACTCCTTAGTTGCCCTGGCTGTGTGTTTCGGGTTGTTGTCATGCCGGAAGACCCAGCCACGACCCATCTTCAATGCTCTTACTGAGGGAAGGAGGTTGTTGGCCAAGATCTTGCGATACATGGCCCCATCCACCCTCCCCTCAATACGGAGCAGTCGTCCTGTCCACTTTGCAGAAAAGCATCCCCAAAGAATGATGTTTCCACCTCCATGCTTCACGGTTGGGATGGTGTTCTTGGGGTTGTACTCATCCTTCTTTTTCCTCCAAACACGGCGAGTGGAGTTTAGACCAAAAAGCTCTATTTTTGTCTCATCAGACCACATGACCTTCTCCCATTCCTCCTCTGGATCATCCAGATGGTCATTGGCAAACTTCAGACGGGCCTGGACATGCGCTGGCTTGAGCAGGGGGACCTTGCGTGTGCTGCAGGATTTTAATCCATGACGGCGTAGTGTGTTACTAATGTTTTTCTTTGAGACTGTGGTCCCAGCTCTCTTCAGGTCATTGACCAGGTCCTGCCGTGTAGTTCTGGGCTGATCCCTCACCTTCCTCATGATCATTGATGCCCCACGAGGTGAGATCTTGCATGGAGCCCCAGACCGAGGGTGATTGACCGTCATCTTGAACTTCTTCCATTTTCTAATAATTGCGCCAACAGTTGTTGCCTTCTCACCAGGCTGCTTGCCTATTGTCCTGTAGCCCATCCCAGCCTTGTGCAGGTCTACAATTGTATCCCTGATGTCCTTACACAGCTCTCTGGTCTTGGCCATTGTGGAGAGGTTGGAGTCTGTTTGATTGAGTGTGTGGACAGGTGTCTTTTATACAGGTAACGAGTTCAAACAGGTGCAGCTAATACAGGTAATGAGTGGAGAACAGGAGGGATTCTTAAAGAAAAACTAACAGGTCTGTGAGAGCCGGAATTCTTACTGGTTGGTAGGTGATCAAATACTTATGTCATGCAATAAAATGCTAATTAATTACTTAAAAATCATACGATGTGATTTTCTGGATTTTTGTTTTAGATTCCATCTCTCACAGTTGATGTGTACCTATGATAAAAATTACAGACCTCTACATGCTTTGTAAGTAGGAAAACCTGCAAAATCGGCAGTCTATGAAATACTTGTTCTCCCCACTGTATATATAGATAGTGAGGGGGAAAAAGTATTTGATCCCCTGCTGATTTTGTACGTTTGCCCACTGACAAAGAAATGATCAGTCTATAATTTTAATGTTAGGTTTATTTGAACAGTGAGAGACAATAACAACAAAAAAATCCAGAAACACGCATGTAAAAAATGTTATGAATTGATTTGCATTTTAATGAGGTAAATAAGTATTTGACCCCCTCTCAAATCAGAAAGATTTCTGGCTCCCTGGTGTCTTTTATACAGGTAACGAGCTGAGATTAGAGCACACTCTTAAAGGGACTGCTCCTAATCTCAGCTTGTTACCTGTATAAAAGACACCTGTCCACAGAAGCAATCAATCAGATTCCAAACTCTCCACCATGGCCAAGACCAAAGAGCTCTCCAAGGATGTCAGGGACAAGATTGTAGACCTACACACGGCTGGAATGGGCTACAAGACCATCGCCAGGCAGCTTGGTGAGAAGGTGACAATGATTATTCGCAAATGGAAGAAACACAAAAGACCTGTCAATCTCCCTCGGCCTGGGGCTCCATGCAAGATCTCACCTTGTGGAGTTGCAATGATCATGAGAACGGTGAGGAATCAGCCCAGAACTACACGGGAGGATCTTGTTAATGATCTCAAGGCAGCTGGGACCATAGTCACCAAGAAAACAATTGGTAACACACTACGCCGTGAAGGACTGAAATCCTGCAGTGCCCGCAAGGTCCCCCTGCTCAAGAAAGCACATATACAGGGCTGTCTGAAGTTTGCCAATGAACATCTGAATGATTCAGAGGAGAACTGGGTGAAAGTGTTGTGGTCAGATGAGACCAAAATCGAGCTCTTTGGCATCAACTCAACTCGCCGTGTTTGGAGGAGGAGGAATGCTGCCTATGACCCCAAGAACACCATCCCCACCGTCAAACATGGAGGTGGAAACATTATGCTTTGGGGGTGTTTTTCTGCTAAGGGGACAGGACAACTTCACCGCATCAAAGGGACGATGGACGGGGCCATGTACCGTCAAATCTTGGGCATTGAAAATGGGTCGTGGATGGCTATTCCAGCATGACAATGACCCAAAACAAACGGCCAAGGCAACAAAGGAGTGGCTCAAGAAGAAGCACATTAAGGTCCTGGAATGACCTAGCCAGTCTCCAGACCTTAATCCCATAGAAAATCTGTGGAGGGAGCTGAAGGTTCGAGTTGCCAAACGTCAGCCTCGAAACCTTAATGACTTGGAGAAGATCTGCAAAGAGGAGTGGAACAGAATCCCTCCTGATATGTGTGCAAACCTGGTGGCCAACTACAAGAAACGTCTGACCTCTGTGATCGCCAACAAGGGTTTTGCCACCAAGTAATGTTTTGCAGAGGGGTCAGAAACTTATTTCCCTCATTAAAATGCAAATCAATGTATAACATTTTTTACATGCGTTTTTCTGGATTTTTGTTGTTGTTATTCTGTCTCTCACTGCTCAAATAAACCTACCATTACAATTATAGACTGATCATTTCTTTGTCAGTGGGCAAACATACAAAATCAGGAGGGGATCAAATACTTTTTCCCCCTCACTGTAATATATAAATATATATATATTTATTATGTCTCCCCCACTTCTGAAACCAAAGTTTCACCCCTGCTAGCCAGCACACATGATGTGTGTTGAATTGGCTACCGCTGTAATTAATTTACACCAGGATTTTCATGACCGTACGAAGCCTGTTTGCTGACCAAAAATGTGCTATAACTGTGCAAATAATTCACTAATTAACAAGCAATATCAACAAAATGTGCGCACGCGGCTAAATGTGGATCTGCTCTTTGATCTCACTAGTGCATCTCGCAGCCGGGATGACTGAAAGACCGCTCTGCCGGTCAATGCAATGCAATCCTACGGCGATACGCTCTGCAGAAATTCTGATAACAGCAGGGCAATTTCCATGGTAATCGAGCGACACGGAGACTCCGATTTTTCACTTAAAGATGTATTGCCAAACAAAAACCAATGATTGCAAAGTTAAACAAACCATACAACTCTACGCACAACGACTACTTTTAACAATTTCAACAGAACATTTTACAAAAACATGTTTACTTGAAGAACAGTGCAGCTGCAGTGTTTGGTAACAGAATGAAGGTTGTGTGTGGTTTGTGCAGTCATTCTGTTACCAAACTTTGCATCTGCACTGTTCAAGTAAATGGGTTTGTAAATTTTACAGTGGAAATTGTTAAAAGTCGTCCTTGTGCAATGAGTTGTATGGTTTGTTTAACGTTGCAATCATTGGTTTTTTGTTCGACATACATTTTAAAGGGAACAATCTGAGTCTCAGGGTCACTGTTACCGTGGAATTGCCTAGCTAGCCCAAGATGTACTCTTCAGGAGCCTACCGTTGCTCCTTAAGGTCCAAATATGCTATTTTCAGAGGTAGACTGGCTCAGGCAGCCAAAACAGCCAGATTCTCCATCTAAAAGTAAATGGATTCTCGATTGCGATACGGTTACAGAATCATAAAGCCCTTTACTTTCATTTCACATCAAAATAATTTCACAAACGCAAAATATACACTGATTGTACACTGTTTTAACCGGCTTTATCACTGTTGCAGCCGACAGTATTTTTCAGTGACAACATGTTTCTGGCTGCCTTCTTCCAATACACACACACACACACACAGGTGTTCGGAGCATGATTTGCTAAATAGCTAATTAGCATAGGCGTTCTCTCTGTTTTCTGTCTGTCTTCATCCACTGACTTACAGTGCATTTGAAAAGTATTCAGACCCCTTGACTTTTTCCACTGTTACGTTATAGCCTTATTTTTAAATGGATTACATAGTTCCCTCTCTCAATCTACACACAATACCCCATAACGACAAAGCAAAAACAGGGTTAGAAATTTTTGCAAATTAAAAATCATAACTGAAATATCACATTTACATAAGTATTCAGACCCTTTCCTCAGTACTTTGTTGAAGCACCTTTGGCAACGATTACAGCCTTGAGTCTTCTTGGGTATGACGCTACAAGCTTGGCACACTTGTATCTAGGGAGTTTCTCCCATTCTTCTCTGCAGATCCTCTCAAGCTCTGTCGGGTTGGATGGGGAGCGTCGCTGCACAGCTATTTTCAGGTCTATCCAGAGATGTTCGATCAGGTTCAAGTCTGAGCTCTGGCTGGGCCACTCAAGGACATGTCCCGAAGCCACTCCTGCGTTGTCTTGGCTGTGTGCTTAGGGTCATTGTCCTGTTGGAAGATGAACCTTCACCCCAGTCTGAGGTCCTGAGCGCTCTGGAGCAGGTTTTCATCAAGGATCTCTCTGTACTTTGCTCCGTTCATCTTTCCCCTCGATCCTGACTAGTCTCCCAGTCCCCGCCGCAGAAAAACATCCCCACAGCATGATGCTGCCACCACCATGCTTCACCGTAGGGATGGTGCCAGGTTTCCTCCAGATGTGACGCTTGGCATTCAGGCCAAAGAGTTTGATATTTGTTTCATCAGAACAGAGAATCTTGTTTCTCATGGTCTGAGTCCTTTAGGTGCCTTTTGGCAAACTCCAAGCGGGCTGTCTTGTGCCTTTTACTGAGGAGTGGCTTCCGTCTGGCCACTCTACCATACAGGCCTGATTGGTGGAGTGCTGCAGAGATGGTTGTCCTTCTGGAATGTTCTCCCATCTGCACAGAGGAACTCTGGAGCTCTGTCAGTGACCATTGGGTTCTTGGTCACCTCCCTGACCAAGGCCCTTCTCCCCAGATATTGAGTTTGGCAAGGGCGGCCAGCTCTAGGAAGAGTCTTGGTGGTTCCAAACTTCTTCGATTTAAGAACGATGGAGGCCACTGTGTTCTTGGGGACCTTCAATGCTGCAGACATTCTTTGGTACCCTTCCCCAGATCTGTGCCGACACAATCCTGTCTCAGAGCTCTACGGACAATTCCTTCGACCTCGTGGCTTGGTTTTTGCTCTGAAATGCACTGTCAACTGTGGGATCTTATGTAGACAGGTGTGTGCCTTTCCAAATCATGTCCAATCAATTGAATTTACCACAGGTGGACTCCAATGAAGTAGAACGATCTCAAGGATGATCAATGGAAACAGGATGCACCTGAGCTCAATTTCGAGTCTCATAGCAAAGGATCAGAATAATTATGTAAATAAGGCATTTATGTAATATATATATATATATATATATATATATAAAAAAAACGTTGTCATTATGTTGTGTGTAGATTGACATTTTAGAATAAGGCTATACCATAATACAATTTGGAAAAAGTCAAGGGGTCTGAATACTTTCCGAATGCACTGTATGTGTAATGTAATGGAACTGAGAGATTATCAAGGGCTAGGCAATGCCCAGCAATAAATCACATCCAGAGGACACTTAAGAGTAATTGTTTAATATTGCGATTTTTGACCATTCGAACAAATCAAATCTATATTCTTCCGGTCCAACAATGTTTCTATCAATAACATTTTGGCAGCATACACAACACTAGAACATACTGACTGATTGGGGCTCGAGAGATGACACCTGTACATAAATGGTGTTCTGTAGAACAGGTTGTCTAGGAGGACTTCCCTGTATTTAGGATCCAAAGACGTGTGTGTGTCGGGAAGGGTATGTAACAACAACCATGGGACGTGGGTGTGTCCAAACAAAGACTGCTAACGTCACCTGCAGAAACAGTGTGTAAGATGTAGGCTAGCCTACAGTAGTGTGCAAGGGAAACTAGAAAACATGCTGTTCTAACAGCATGCACATTTCACACAAGACATACAACTCTCACGTAGTGCCTACCTCCACTCTACACTCAAATGGCTACCTAGCTAGCTAGCTACCTACCTGACCAGGTAAACAATGTTTCACTTTCAGGTGCAATAAAAGCAGCTGACCTTAGCGAAGAACATGCTAAGTGAACAAGCTACCCTCTAGCTATTTGCTGAACAGGGTCAAATTCAATGATCAGACAGATGGAATACAGTTTGTTTACAAGTAACGTTAGCTACCAGCTAGCATGCAGTAACGTTAGCATTATTTAAATGTTGGAAAACATCAGCTAGCTAGCATATACGGCGAATTTAGCTTTTGAGAAAGTAGCTACCTCTCTTTTCTTTGTTCTTTCTCGGTATTTGAAAGTTCAAGCGGTCCCCCGCTTTTGGAATATATTGCGTAGAAGATACTCCAGTTCTCGGTCTTGTCTCGGTACCACCAGCTTGCTCGGTACCAGAATGCTCGCCATCTTGACTTGGTGTAACGTTACTCTCGGGTGGGATGTAATATTTCACTGAGCTGTATTTCGATGCAGGGACGTTGCCACCGCTGTGGCTCTCCATCGTAGATAAACACTTATTTGACACCAAATGCAATCAACACTTATCTTTCTTTTTAAATCGGCAGATAATTTTTTCCCCACACACATTCAGAGCGCAGACACTCCAACCACATCTCCGCCATGCTGCTTCACTGACGTATTCGACGCAAGGACTGCCTTGTTCCCTCAACCACGGCTGACGCTGCCGGATCAGACAATCGATACATTGGGTTTTATGCGAAGGGTTGTAGCGCCACCTGCGGGTATATGAACGAAAGGCATGACGGCTCAATTTATATTACATGTGAGATATAGGAAGTCATTATACAAAAGTAGCTTGTTTTATTTGATGGAAAATAATTGTATATATTTTTTCATTTGTGTTTCAGAAATATTCATAAGTACTGTATTATTCCACTTATTCACGGACTAAAATAACCAGCTCTTGAATGAGATGCTATTTGTTCTGTTGGCCTGATGCACAGATGGGCAAAAGAAACTTGAGCTGACATGAGGTGAGGCCTTTGGGAGACAAGGTACGCCAATGCCTGTAAGCCCACCCCTCAAGGCTCTCTCTCTCTGGGGAACATGGGCATTGTGTCTAGCCTGGTCCCCGATCTGTTTGTGCTCCTGGCCTGACAATTCCATAAGGAGTTGTGAAGAAAGCAAAAACAGACTGACATCCAAGCCAACGTGTGTCTGTGTTCTCCTTGGTCTGATTGCATGTGATTGCATCATGACAAAGGGGAGTTAAACCAACCATTTAACCAGGGCCCGGGGGACATACACAAACACACCTGTCTGATTAGGCCTTTCTCACCTGTGGTAGGTAGCCTGCTAAGAGGGCCCCAGCCACTACTATTGGCTAAGAGAGGTCCCATGAGGAGAGGTATTCAGCCACACCAACAGTTAGGCCATTAAGGGTGTTCCCATGCCATGATGGTATAATTCACTCTCTTTGTGTATGATTTTTACCAATACATAGCTGAGAGACATTTACTTTCCTGTAAGTTCACACAAAAATCCTCTAATCTTACACATTATGTTGTAACTTTGAAGATCTAATTTAACTGTACTGTATACAAGAATATGAATATGTATGTATGAATAGTGTGTAAATAGTATTTTTGTCTGTTGGCGTCTTTCCTATATATAACTCTTATTGTTTTATTTTATGTTGTTTATGTCTATTACTGTTCTGTACATTGTCATGTTTTTGTACGTTTTATGTGGACCCCCCAGGAAGAGAATGGGGACTAAACTCAAATTATATTATAGTAATACATTGTATGACCCTGTAAAACAACACATTTCACTGCACCTATCTGGTGTGTGACAATAAAACATTTATATTTGTTATTATTTTCCTTAACATTATGTTACATAGAGGGATTCAAAGGTAGCAGTCACAGCTGCAGTATTTTGGCATGAGTCTGGCAAGCATCTACTAAGGCATTTGCATCCCATTGATGTACTGTCATTTATTATCATAGTCTTATCAGTAGAATAGCAATTACATTTTATAGCTAGACATTGACCTTGTTTGAACACAGCTACATGTGAAAAATGATAAGTCATCACATGGAATATAACTCAATATCACAACAGACCATAATAAACATGACAAATATGGCTTGGTTCGTATCTTTTATTTGGTACAGTCTAAATTCCATTAGGTTATACATGTTCATGTCAATCTTTCTCAGTCAGTTCATATATCATAATTCAATATAGTCTCTTTACCTTTCAAGTCCATGTGTCTGAGGGCTTACATAGCCTACAACCACATAGTAGCTAGTTCTGAAACCCTTCTTTTCCAGTCTAGTTCTGAAACCGTTCTTTTCCAGTCTAGTTCTGAAACCCTTCTTTTCCAGTCTAGTTCTGAAACCCTTCTTTTTCTGTCTAGTTCTGAAACCTTTCTTTTCCAGTCGAGTTCTTTGGGCTCCTCCCATTCCCATATCTCCCTGTGCAACCATAATTCTCACCTCCAGTCTCCAGCAAGAACCAAACAAAAGCATATAACATTAATTCATAGTAAAAAATTAACTATAAATAGACATCCTAAAGAATATATTTCAATACATTTCTTTAAAAAACAAAACACAATAAAATAATATACTGTATTTTGGGTATTTATTTTAGTGATTACTTGGTCAAACTGATTCCTTTTTTAACAGGTGACATTCTATACAAATGAGAGAGAATATGACACGTACACATTTTTTGGCAACGATTTAGCAGTCCTAGTTCATCAATTCAACACAGAGAGCACCCAGTGACAGAGGACTGGTCTGAGCTCAGCTATATGGCACAAGCGACTACTTCTTTAAACAATATGAAAATCTCAGCATCACTTTTTACACGAATGTCCAGTGAGTAAAGAACTTTGTGGGTGATAAAAAGCTGACACTACTAAAACACACCAACAGTAATTCATTTAATACTGGTTTTAATACAAAGCTTCTCTGTAAGACATTGACTCTTAACACCACTGAGAATCTTGCTTCCTCCAGAGCTCTTTACTTGTTGTAAAATGCTACTGTTCCCACGTCCCACTTGTGGAGATATAGGTGGTCCAAAACTGCATGACAATGGAATCCTTTCAGCTAGGGCATCTGCATCATTTTTCATGGAATTTCATGTAATGAGTTAAAGGGCAATTCTGCCATTTTTCAACCTCATATTCATCATCTTCAGCACCATACCAGTGTCTACATATGTGAAAACTGAGCTTTTCTATGATCCATGGTTAAAAAGATAAGAAAGTTCATAAAAAATGCTTTTGTGTGACATCACAGGGTAGGATTAAAATAACTGTGATTTTCAAACCTTGCAACGAGTTTCTAGCCAGAGGGATGTTATTTACTTGCGTCCCACGTCACCGCAAATCTCATAGTGTTTGAAAACCACTGTTTGAAAAATATTGTAACTTTTAATGATGTCATCAGGTAGAACTTTTTAACTTCATGTTTACTTCTACAAAACATAGACACTGGTATTGTGCTGGAGAACATGACAATGAGGTTGAAAAGTGGTGGAATTGCCTTTTAAAGTTTTTTTTCTAACTCATATTAATTTAAAATCAAATGCAATTGTAGTTATCACATGCGCAGAATCCAACAGGTGTAGACTTTACCGTGAATGCTTACTTACGATCCCTTTCCCACCAATGCAGAATTTACCTTTAGACAGGATATAAAAAATAAACACCCAATAGATTATAAAAATAATCAAACAAGCTTGACCCACCAACAACAACAGCTCTCCCCTCTGAGTGACGTGTTTATACTAGGTTACATTACCAAGAGGCCAGTTCTAGATGCCAGTTGCTGACCTCTGGAACACCATAGTTTGGAACACCATAGTTCTGGAACATCATAGTTCTGGCCAAGATGTGGGAAGAATCTGTAGCAAACAACTCTGCCCCATTAACACTGTTGTAACCCATCCTTAACAAAAGACCCTCCAACACCATGTCAAGTCCTAACAACAACATATCATCATATTGATTGTCTTTGAAAACATTCTTCTGGTCATTTTGACTGGGTAAATTATTGCAAACACAACAGATTCTCTAGATTCCTACATCAATATACATACAGTATATATATATATATATATATATATATATATATATATATATATATATATATATATATATATATATATAAAAATAAAGAGAATATCATCTGTGTATTCTCTTCGCTCTGTGAGAACGCAGTAGCAGTGCAGTGGGATAAGGGGTGATGGCAGTGTCTCTAGTTGTGGTGAGAAGGTGATGAGAGGAGCCTGTCTGTAGGGTAGGAGGACTCCGCCTACAGCAGAGGTCAAGAGTCAGACCAGGAGCAACAACAACAATACTGTCCTGAGGTCCCAGTCATGGCTGCCTTCCTCTCCTCTCCATGTAGACTTCCATAGTGGACCTGACAGTCACAGCTAAGACACATGGATACCACTGCTATAGACTACACCACGGTCTCATAGAAAGACTCAAAACGATAGAGGGAGTGACAGAGAGAGAGAAAGAGAGAGAAAGAAAAGGAGGGAGAATTGTGAAAGTTAAGACAAAAATCAACAAATGAAAAAGGGGTAGAAAAAAATAAGTGCTCTCCAATATCCATACACTGTGTTTCCTCCCTCCCGTATATAAAGACCATTGCCATGTCGCCACCAATACTGCCCAGGTGTAGCTATGGCACCCCAGTGGTCACACTTCTGCTGGCCTGCTGCTGCTACTAGAGTCTGTTTGGTCCATCTGGGCAGAGCCAGGGCAGCCTGTGGTGGAGTCAGAGGCCTCGCTCATGTCCACGTCCATGCTGCAGTCTGGAGAGTCTACAGACGAGTCACTGTCGCTGTTGTCCATGCTCTCTGGCTGAGGGACCAGCTGGGGGGCCAGTGCTCCTGAGAGGGCAGGTGTTGTAGGGCTCAGAAAGCTCTGGGGGCTGAGTGGGCTTGGAGTGGGGTCTGGGTCACTGCTACTGGTCCCCACCCTGACAGGAATCCCCACCCCCACGGCCGACTCGGCGGCTCCTTTGGCCTGGCGGATGCAGTTCAGCCACTGCTGTTTGTTAAAGGCATCGCTGGCTTGGAACGAGTGGGACTGGAGCTGGCCACCACTATGAAACGACACTCTGAAGAAGTTTTTGGCTGAGGTAGGAAAGGAGAGGAGAGATGAAGAGGTTAGACAGGGGAAATTAGACGGGCAGATTACAAGTTAATGACCACATTATTAATAGGATAGGGTGTCAAGCTCCAGTTATCGGCGGCCACAGTCGTTATCCACTAGGGATAAACCATACAGATCCTATCATTCATATTCCAATGTTCTATATGTAATTCTATGGAGTAAACACTCACTCCTCTCATTGTTGCTGAAGGCCCCTCTGATGGAGCCTCCGAGACGGATCTCCCCGTCCTGCAGGTCCTCCCACTGCAGGTCTCTGACGGGGATGGGCTGGCGGAACATCTGGTAGAGCAGCTGCTCACTGTGGGTGATGGTCCTGGTGATGACCAGCACGTCCTGGAACAGGAACACATGCAGCTTCTGGAGATAGAGGGATAAGGAAGGTGTAAGGGTAAGCTGCTTTTTCCTCATTTAAAACATATTTATCCAGGTTACTCATTGAGATCTCATTGGAATATATTTTTCAAGGGAGCCCTGGCGGCAGCAGTAAGCAATACAAAAATAATACACCATAACACAATACAATTCATAGCTACATTGGAAATAAAGGTCATTGGACCAAACAGGGCCAGATATTTCAGCAGCAGGCCAACTACTCCCACAAAATCAAACTCCTCCGACTAGAAAATAGTACGAACACCACCAGTGTGGGTGGTATGTTTACTTTAAACACACTTTGGCCCATGTTTTCCTTTCCATGTGATGAATGGCTTCATAAGCTGACCCTGCATGATACATAAGAGAACATCTTCAACTTGTATTGAAAGTTCAAAACTGGAGTAGGAAGGGGATGATGTGTTCCTGTAGCACTTACACTGTTTGATTTAAGAGGACCAGTGTTTAGTAAACACTGGAAGACTTTTAAGGGAGTAGAGACAGAGATGGTCTATAATGTTGTAACAGACTTTAGCAGAGATGTGATGTGGAGGCTTCCAGGGTTGTGTTGTGTAAGAATACAGTGAATCCTGACGATAGAACACCCACTAACACTACTCCATCAAAGGGGGAATCTCTCTTCTCTCAACATTTCCATTTTCACTTATAAGAACTCTTTCTGAGATACCGATATAAGACCGTATAAGAATGAGTCTAATATAGAACACAAGCCAGTCATGGCTGACCATAAAGGAACAGAACATAAACACACACAAAAAAATCTGTGGTGTGTGTGAGTACAGGCTATGTGTGTGTCTGCATGAAGACCCTCAGGTTTCAATGGGCTGGTTTAGGTGAAACCAGCGTGAGAAGATGAAAGAAGTGGAACTTTCATCTGGTTGACTTTCTCGCTCTGTGTCTTTGTTCATCCTTAAATAACAACACTTTACCGCAGATAGACAGAGACAAAGGCCATGTTAGTCGACCATGAGTCACTATGACCTCACCTCGATTCTAACGACCTGTAGGCTTCCATTCTTCTCATATTAACACTTGATAAAACAAACAATAAATTAACTTCATAGCTAAATTAATGTGCAGATCTTTAGTGTAATGCCTTTAGTCCTTTTCCTGTATAATACAGGTGGATTTATTGGTTTATTGTTAAAACACAATATGGTAATGTTTCAGTGTTTTTTCCCACCGGACTTGAAAGGCTGTGTGTGCCTCTGCTTGGGTCTGTCCTGGCTAGCTACCCCAGCACAGCCTGATTAATAGCCTTCAGTCTCTCCTTTCCTGTGATTACTCCCTCTCTCCCTCCTTCTCTCCTTCCCTCTTCCCCCCCTCCCTCTCTCTCCGTCCCTCTCCACACCACCACTACCCTCTTATTACTGCTGGTGGGAACTGAACCGTATCAAAGCCCAAACCACCAGTATGCTACCACCAACCCAGAGATGGATAGGGATATGCAACATCTAACAACACGCGACCAGGTGCTTCCAATTTGTACCATGTGGCACAAACATGGTAAACAAAACCCAAATGAAAAGCTTTGGTTGAAGGGAGGAGATGAAACAAATGTTCCGGCCCCTCTCTCTGACTGACAGTCCACATCGTTTCTTTTTCACCTCGGCACCCAGAACCCAATCAGCTTCTCAGGATGTCACAACAGAATGTTTCTTTCTAAACACACACAATGCACGTGATGTTATGTTTCTTTCTAAGCCTATGTTAGAGTGTATCCTAGGCATGTTTAAGGACATTGCCCTCTGGCTTGGCTAGGTTAGCCTACACCTTCTCTCTGCCCTCCCTGACCCCGGCAGCCCTGCGCTTGCCTGTTGTTGTTATGTAGCTTACGTAACAGTGTTGACGGAGCGGAGTGATTGACTAGATGTTTCAGAAATCGGTCTTCTTGTCTTTGACCTTGGAAACCTCTTTTCCCTCAGCAGGAAAGATGACCCAGCGAGGGCCTAGAGGTGAACCAACGCTCTCAGAGCTGACCCCTGACCCCAGTAGACGTATTGATATGTGGTGGCAGAGAGGTGCTTTAGGGGTCATGGTCAGAGGGTTTGCTCGTACCATCACAGGTACACTGTATATCTCTACATGGTACAAACGTAAAACTGTGACTCATTCAATGCTAAACAAATATCCTCACCGTTGACCTTACTTACGCCAGAAGACGTACCAAGCAGTAGAGTGTTAGTATTGAATTCCCTGTCAGCAGACGTTGCCGTGCCATTTTACCATTAAAATAGCTGCTACACTGAGTAACGTTTGCATTGTGTTTGCATGATGAAAGCAACCTGTTATTGTAGGTTTTTAGCTGTGTAGTGTAGCAGGTCTGTTCATATGCATACTTAGTAGTGATAGATGCTAGGCAGCTCTACTCACAGCTCCCCTGTTGTTCTTCAGTTCCCCGTGACAGCTGAGAATACGGGAGTTGTCAATGAGCAGGTCTCTCTGGCTGTCTTCCAGGTAGAGGAGACGCTCCTTGTAGAAACGGCACTCTGACTCGCCCGTCTGGGTGTTGATCTCAGCCACGATGCTCTGGATCATGTTGATCTGGTGACAGGAAGAGGGAATGAAAAGTGTGGTTTAAGTTTTGTGAGTGTGTGTGAGTGTGTGTGTGTGTGTGTGTGTGTGTGTGGGGGGGGGGTGTTAGTGGGGGGTTTTGTGTGTGTGCATGCATTCATGTCTATCACCAAATCCACTCACTGCCTCATCCAGGTGTTGACGGTCCGGATGGTCGTTAGGTGTGTGTTTGAGGATCTCCCTGAGCAGCAGAGGGTATTTGACCAGCCGGCTCCTGGGTATATCCAGGAAGTTCCACAGGTCCAGCTTCCTGCTGAAGGGCGACTCCAGGCAGCGCTGCAGGAAGTCATGCACCCGGTGGTCCTGTTTCTTATGGTCCAGCAGAGCCTTGGCTGCCACCTGGTTACTGCAGTACGAGTTGTAGGAGTCCAGACACGGTAACTTGTGGAGGGAGGAGGGAGGGAGGGAGGGGGAGGAAGAGAGAAAGGTGGGGGGGGGAGAGGTCAGTAATTGAGTTTCTCCTTCAGTCAAGTTAATATTTATTAGCAGGATCTCTTATGTAGTGTGCATGTTCCATAGCGCTTTTTGAGGTTGGATTTTATTTTAAATCACGGTTTTTGACTTCTGATAAAATATATATTTTTTCTTTGATTAATTTATTATTTGTCATTCCTTAAAGTCATCATTTCATCCTGCTCAGGCAGTACCAGCCAGTACTCCCCATACCGTACTGTCTTTAGTCATCCTATTTAGCAAGGCTAGCCTGAGATCACGCTCTCCGTAGCCAATGTGAGTAAGACCTTTACACAGGTCAACATTCACAACACCGCAGGGTCAGACGTATTACCAGGACTTGTACTCAGAGCATGTGCTGACCAACTGGCAAGTGTCTTCACTTGCCAGTTGAATGCTGTTCAATGAATGCTGTTCATTGACTACAGCTCAGCGTTCAACACCATAGTGCCCACAAAGCTCATCACTAAGCTAAGGACCCTGGGACTGAACACCTCCCCCTGCAACTGGATCCTGGACTTTCTGACGCCCCCAGGTGGTAAGGGTAGGCAACAACACATCTGCCACGCTGATCCTCAACACAGGGGCCCCTCAGGGGTGCGTGCTTAGTCCCCTCCTGTACTCCCTGTTCACCCACGACTGCGTGGCCAAGCACGACTTCAACACCATCATTAAGTTTGCTGATGACACAACGGTGGTAGGCCTGATCACCGACAACGATCTGACAGCCTCTCCCTCAACAGGACAACAACCTCTCCCTCAACGTGATCAAGACAAAGGAGCTGATCGTGCACTACAGGAAAAGGGTTAGAGGTACATACAGGTGCGCCAAGTCTAGGTCCAAAGGCTCCTTAACAGCTTCTACACCCAAGCCATACAACTGCTGAACAGTTAATCAAATGGCTACCCGGACTATTTGCATTGCCCCCCCCCCCCCCCTATTTTTACACTGCTGCTACTCGCTGTTTATTATCTATGCATAGTCACTTTACCCCAGCCTACATGTACATAGTACCTCAATTACCTTGACTAACCTGTGCCCCAACACATTGACTCGGTACCAGTAACCCCTGTATATAGCCTCATTATTGTTATTGTATTACTTTCTTTTTTACTTTAGTTTATTTAGTAAATATTTTCTTAACTCTTATTTTTCTTAAAACTGCATTGTAGGTTACGGGCTTGTAAGTAAGCATTTGACGGTAAGGTCTACACCTGTTGTATTTGGCGCATGTGACAAATACATTTTGATTTTATGATTTGATTTAAGTATGCTGCAGAGCTGTCTGACGGAAATAATTGTACTAGTTCTTCAAAGTAGATAAGGCATACTTTCACGAACTGTCTCTATGTCGCTGTGTTGTGTACATTCCTCTCTCATGCAGTCAGTGTGTATCTAACCTAACTTAGCAGACGTAAAAGTGTATCCATCTCTGTCCGAGCTGGAAAGAACAGGCACAATGGATTATGGTCATTGTAGTTAATTACCACATTTCTGAACAGATCTAGCATGAATATTTGCTTAGTGAAAACTACAACTCCCTTCAGCCGAGCATCCCACATCGTTTTTGACTTGATTTCTCTCATGAATGATTTGATTTCTCTCTAGAGAAACAGCGCGCTGTGCTCACAAAAAAACAGAACTAAATGGAATTCAAGTAATTTAACTGAATTAGTTGTTGAAAAACCGAAACCCCCCAGAAATGTTGGTTAATCTCTCAGCACTAGCGTTCCAGTTCTAGCTCTGTGTAGGTCTACCATACAACAAGTCTCTTCATCTTTAAATGGACCTCCAGATCTATTCAATATATTGTACCTGGTCTACATCACATTGAACACTATTGGAATGTCAGTGGGCTGGTGCAGTCAGAGCCAGAAAGATGTCAGTGTTAATGTAACCGATAGATAAACCAAGGCATAAGCCAGGCCATCTACCATGGAAATGGGACATATTTACTCTATTATGCAACCATATTGACATCTTTCCGCAGTGGAGCAGAGTTCAGAGGAGAGGTGGACTAGGGCAAGTAAACAGCTGAGAAGCAGAGGAGCGGAGGAGGCTCTCCGCGTCCCCGTCAGGCATGCATTGTTCCCCTCCATAACTACCTAGTGTAAACAGGAAGTAGGGATGGAGGGAAAGGGATGGAGAGGAGCTGCTCAGCACCCTTACACTAACACACTTCACAGCACTGCAGAACTAGCCTGGTTCCAGCTCTGTGTCCAGCTAAAGTGTTACTGCACGCATTCTGAGGAAGTTATCATTGCATGTTACTTAAGAGCTTTGTTTTAACCTCCACACAGGGTAACCTGACTCCACACCAAAAGAGGTTCATCTGGGTTCAACAGCTACTGTTGTTGTGTGAACCCCAGAGGTCAACTTACAGAGCTCTGAGTACACACACACACACACACAGAGAATCAAAAAAGAAAACTGGGCCAAAAGGTCCTTAAAACACAGGGGATTTATCGGTTGTTATAAGATAGCTACATTATGGAAAACAAACAACATCGCAGGCTGCCTCGTAAACTAGCTGTTTTGGGGTTCTGGATGGCTGAAGTCCTTCCTCAGAAAGTAAATTGATGCTGTTGAAAGGAAGTGACACAAAATTCCTGCTAATCCTGACCAGGCCAGTCACCCTGATTAATAGACTAAACTCTGTAACTACCACAACTCATCTATGTAACAATTCAGGTCATACCCCTCTTCTCTACCTTGTTTCAGAAGTACATGTTGCTGACTGTTAGATATCCCCACCTTGGGCATGTGTAGTATGAACGTACAAATGCCTGATTTCTAGAAAAGTAAAATCTGCATTAAAACTGTTATATAATACAGTTGATCTATCCGTTTTTCCTGTTTAGGTCATATGGACAGGAAACCCTCACCGCCCTATATGATTATAACAGCATTATAACACAGGCGGATATAGATGGTCTTACCCAGTCCACTAGGATGTGTCCCACATTTTCTGTAGAGCCGTCTGGTTTCCTGGCCTCTCGCAGTCGACTCAGCAGATCTGATGGATGAGAAGGAGGAGAGCGCTCAGCCTCTGTCTATCGGCTCTTTTAGGTGTAAGAACTCTGTGTGTGTGTGTGTGTGTGTGTGTGTGTGTGTGGGTGGGTGGATGTGTGCCTGTGTGTTTGCGTGACTGTAATGATAATAATATGCCATTTAGCAGACGCTTTTATCCAAAGCTACTTACAGTCATGCGTGCATACATTTTTGTGTATGGGTGGTCCCGGGGATCGAACCCACTACCCTGGCGTTACAAGCGCCGTGCTCTACCAGCTGAGCTACAGAGGACCACTGTGTGTGTGATGGCTTCTGTGTTTGTGTGAGCAACTGTGTTTCTTTGCAATTCCCTATCCTGTGGTTCTACCCTTTGCAAGCTTCCGTTCTCACCTTCATGCAACGGAATGAGGGAGTCCAGGGTTCCGAAGATCTGGTTAAGGTCATGCTCTGTCATAATGGACAACTTCAGCATAGGGTCATGGTACGCCTGCAGGTACAGAGGAAGGAGAACGGTTAAGTTAGAACAGTAGCAATGAAACCAAACTCTATTTATACACTATTTTACTCACGTGCTTTATAAGCATTGAAAGCTGAATCAAGAGTTTGCTCTAAAGATGGAAATACCCTTGGGGTTTATTGGTAGCTTATGACGTGGATATCTACAAGTGTAGCTCAGTTGGTAGAGCATGGCGCTTGCAACGCCAGGGTTGTGGGTTCGTTTCCCACGGGGGGCCAGTATGAAAATGTATGCACTCACTAACTGGAAGTCGCTTTGGATAAGAATAAAATGGAAATGTAAAAAGTGTTTGACCCAGATAAGTTACTTGAGCCAAGCTCAGATGGATCATATAAACTACACACCCAATATTAGTAAAAAAAACACTTTACTCGCGTTCCAAAACAGCACTAAGAAAGGTAACTGACGTCAAATGGGACATGTCAAGAAGATATTAAAGATATTTTCAGAAACAGTATTGGACATAAATAGCCTAAACATCTGTTGGTGTCTTGTACCTCCATGCAGAACACGTGGACATTCACAGAACACGTAGCCTAATGGTCATTCGCAGAACACGTAGCCTAATGGTCATTCACAGAACACGTAGCCTAATGGTCATTCACAGAACACGTAGCCTAATGGTCATTCACAGAACACGTAGCCTAATGGTCATTCACAGAACACGTAGCCTAATGGTCATTCACAGAACACGTAGCCTAATGGTCATTCACAGAACACGTAGCCTAATGGTCATTCACAGAACACGTAGCCTAATGGTCATTCACAGAACACGTAGCCTAATGGTCATTCACAGAACACGTAGCCTAATGGTCATTCACAGAACACGTAGCCTAATGGTCATTCACAGAACACGTAGCCTAATGGTCATTCACAGAACACGTAGCCTAATGGTCAATCACAGAACACGTAGCCTAATGGTCATTCACAGAAAGTGCTGTGTGAGTAACAAAGTATTGGGAGAAACCATAAGCACGTGTGCGCACATACACACACACACACACACACACACACACACACACACACACACAGTCTTAGGTGTGTGATTGTGGGAGCACAGGGGAAACCGGAGACTGGCTGATCACCAGCGTAGAATAACTGAGCTGTGATACGCTCAATGAAAACGAAAAAGGGAAATTATCTTAATTTGAAAAGCAGATCGTACCTTCTTGGCCAGCTTCAGATCCTCAATGAGATCCTGCTCCCCTTGAGAAAGCTCAAAGATTGCCTGCAAACATACAAAAGGAAGGAGAGACAAAGACAGAATGGTGAAACAAGGGTCCTTGTTCAGTCAAACATTTCAGAAAAACAACAAGTCAATAGCTTCAAAGATCAAAGCTATTTCACCACCATGAACATTGAAAACATATACACATAATTTCTTTCTTTCATTCATTCTTTCTTTCTTATTTCTTTCTTTCTGTCTTTTTAGAAAAATGAGTACATGTATGAAATAACAAATGGCAGACTGACAAATCTAAAGGTCTTTGCAGAAAGATGAGCTTTCAACGCTTCGCCTCTCTACAGCCACAAGACTTCTGTTGGGCACACAGAGAGAAAACCACAAGACCCCGTTGACCCCTAAAAATGCAATACTTCCCAGTGGACAGCTGGGTTCTGTTGTGAACACCCTATCCCATATCTCCTGTCCTTTGATGTCTACTCTGTGTGGCCTGAGAGGGGGAGTCCCAGTTTTAGTGGAGGGGGGGGGGGGGGGGGGGGGGGGGGGGGGTGGGCATGTTTCAGACAGGCCTTCTAATTTTAACTGTTAAAACTGTGAAGTGATACTTGATCCCCTCTGTGACTGAGTCTAAGCCTGGGAGAGTGGAGGAGATCTCTAGGAGCAGAGAGAGAGAGAGAGAGGGGGGTGGGGGGTGGGGGGGGGGGGGGGGGAGAGGGGAGAGAGAGGAAGAGATAGAGAGAGGGGGAGAGATAGAGAAGGGGGGAGGGAGAGGAGAGAGGGAAGGGAGGGGGAGTGATTCTTTTTTCTCTCTCTCTCGAGGGGAGTTAGTGAAGTGATCAGAGAGAGGGGGGAGAGATAGAGACGGGGCACTCTCTCGAGAGAGCGCTCGGGAGAGCGGGTTTTTCCTCTTCTCCTTTTTTTTTCTCTCTCGGAGAGTAGATACATGGCATATAGAGGAGAGAGAGTTAGAGAGATCTCTATATCGGGGGTTTGGGGTGGGGGGGGGTGGGTCGCAAGACGAGGTGAGAGAGGAGGGGAGAAGAGGAAAAAGAAGCAGCTGGGATGTTATTGGAGCCCCTCCACCTCCAAGCCACTCCTGACCCTGATGTTCCTCTGTAATTTGGCTGTGGTTTTCCCATCAGTGCTTACCAGGCAGGATCTGCTCATAGACTAGGGAATATCTCTCTCTGGGTTTGGGTTTTGCTATGGGCCCTTAATCTGAGCATCTTTCATGCATTCTAGGAGATGTACATCCTTGGTATAACTATGCTATTGCAGCGATGAGACAAGATCGAAATTGGGGAGAAAAGGGGGGTAAAATACAACAACAAATATATACAGTACCAGTCAAAAGTTTGGACACACCTACTCATTCAAAGGTTTTTCTTTATTTTTACTATTTTCTACATTGTATAATAACAGTGAAGACATCAAAACAGGATGATACAGTACAGTACTATATAGAAGCAGGTATTTCTATTGTTTTGTAACGGTGTACCCATGGTAACCCTGAGGAAAACCCTTACCTCCTGGCGTTTGATTTCCTTAGAGGACAGCATCTGGTGTCCGAGCCGCACGTCAAAGGTCTCGCTCCAAAGCTTGCTGTCACGCCGCTTGGTGTTGGCTTGTGGGGCCGGCCGCGTCCATGGTCGAGGAGGCATGACCGTCTCTGTCCGGCTCTCACTGCGGAAGCTGATGGAACGCTGCGGAATAGAGAGAGACACACAGGAGGGTGACTGATTGAGAGGAGAGTATGAAAAGACAAAAGATGAGAAAAATGTCCCTTCACAGGACAAAGGATCAAAGCCCTGCATCTGTGTACCATAAGGGATACGTCCCAAATTGCACCCTGTAGGGCTCTGGTCAAAAGTAGTGCACTATATAGGGAATAGGGTGCCATTTGGGACGCAATCGTAGAGGACCAGTGATAATCAGGCGAGAACGTTCCCACCTTTCAATCACTGAGCCTCGTGTTGCATAATGACACTGGAGCGTGTCATCAACACCATCAAGAAGAAAACACATCACAACACGTATGAAACATGTATGCACTCACTAACTGTAAGTCGCTCTGGATAAGAGCGTTTGCTAAAATGACTAAAATACAAAAATGTAAAATGTTACAGCATAACACATCATCAGCAAAGTTATTTAGTAGACTACATGTGGTGTCCATTGCATTGATTCAAAATGGCTGATATTTAGTCAGGATCATGGTGAGATGACAATGAGAGCTTATAAGAGGGTCATAAATGCTTATGACAAACCTTACAATGCATTATAACCACAGCATAACGTACTAAACCTGCAGGTCGTATTTGTGAAGTGTTATTAATGACATTTTTGTAATTAAGCATTTAGATACTCTTTATATGTACCTGCAGTGGTTGTCCTACGTGTTCGTATTTGTCAGCATAGTTATCTGTACTGTTGTACCTGCAGTGTTTGTCCTATTCGCTTCAGAGGAGCAGTCTTGACTGGAGGGATGAGGTTGGCCAGCGAGGTGACGCGGGACAGGGGCTTCCCCCGCTTGTTACTGGGCTCCTAGGACACAGTGGACACAGAGAGACACCTTGTTGTTAACGCCCAGTCAGACACAAACATTACCAGCAAATAGAGGAAAGAAAACATCCCATAAAAGTCCAGATAGAAGAAGACACGATGCTGTGAGGTCAGTACAGCAGTAGCCTGAGTGCCAGTATGTTTGTGCTACCATGCCAACTCCTTGTCACTCATGCCAAACAATGTACGGTAGTTTAGTACCTTCTGCCTCACAATCTCCATCGGAGCCCATCAACTCTTGACCAGAGCTTTAGGTGTGGAACAGGCTGAACTTAACCAGCGGTTTTGATGAGTTCTGTGATCAACACCAGGACTATCATTCTCATAGCACCTAATCATCTCTCTTTCTATCCCCCTCCCTCTATCTCTCCCTCTATCACGACCAGCTGTTGCATTGTTAACCAGGGGAACCCCCGTCACACCTACACACATCAACGCACTCTTCTCCTCTACTCTGTTCTCCTTTATGCCCTTCAAGGTTACAGTACAGAGATCCAGTCAGACAGGATCTCCTGTAATCAGACCAAAGACACAGGTGTCCTGTAGGTGAGAGAGAAATTAAAGAAGGATGTACGGTCCGTACCTCCAGCACCTTAACCAGTGGGATGTGTGTATGTTTCCCTTTTTCATAGATCCCCCTATTCCTTCCTTCCCTTGTTCTCCTCTCCCCTCAACAGGTTTATCAGCCTGTGCTGTGTGCCTTCACGGTCTCAGCTGACAAAACTCCTGTTCTGTTCTGATCGCGACAGATAATGTGACCTTACAGCAGGGAGAAGAGCTTTAGAATACCCTTCGATTCATTCTGCATCACTCCATCAGGATACCAGAAGAAGAGATCCATTCTCCAGTGGTTGCAGTCAGTCAGAATCATCAGGGGAAAAACAGACTGACAGAAAGAGAATATCTGCAACCTGCAAACCCTCATGGTAGCAGCATTAGCACTCCATTCTCCTATCCTCCATTTCCCCTCTTCCCCTCTCCTGCTCTCTCCTCGTCGGTGCCTTTGCAGAGCCGCCCTGTGACGTCACTGCAGCTATTTAATCACTATTCTGGGAAAACAGTCTTTTCAGACCGAGTACCCCCTCTTCACAATTCACGCACGTCTGCTTCACACGTTCACACACACACACACACACACACACGTTCACACACACACACACACACACACACACACACACGCACGCACACGCACACAGACAGACACACGCACGATAGTTATGGTTATGCAGCAGAAAAGCAGAGCCAGTGTGCCTCACACAATATAGATAATCTATCTATTCCTTATAGATATTACTCAACTGGAGAGAAGTGAGTGACAGTACAAATCAGACTGTACAAATGGTGTCAATTTGAACAGTATCTACCATCTACTCACAATGGGATCCATTTCCAATTTAATCAAAGCCTACTTGCTTACTTAGACTGAATCCCAAATGGTACCCTATTCCCCTATATAGTGCAGTACTTTTGACCAGGGCCCATATTGCTCTAGTCAAAAGTAGTGCACTAAATAGGGCAGTGTTTCCCAACCCTGGTCCTCGAGTACCCCCAACAGTACACAGTTTTGTTGTAGCCCTGGACAAACACACCTCATTCAACTCATTGAGGGCTTGATGATTAGTTGACAAGTTGAATCAGGTGTACTTGTCCAGGGTTACAATAAAAACGTGTACTGTTGGGTGTACTGGAGGACCAGGGTTGGGAAACACTGATCTAGGGGATAGGATGCTATTTGAGACTTGTCAACAGTGAATAAGTACTGTGAACAAATGATGTTGTTCCAATACAACGTCCTCCATCATCTGCAGACTAACTGATTTCAGGTCTAGTACCTCAAAGCTCTGCTGCTCTGACCCCTGCCTCACTTAAAGCAATGACCTAAAAGATGTTACACAATCTGTTCCTGTGTTTTAAAATTGACCTGCCAATCAATGTCATCGTCATCATCATCATCATCATCATCATCAGCAGCAGCTCCCTCAGTCCTTTACTACATCCCCTGTCTCAGTGAGAGGCTCTGATCTCTACAGGGGAGATAGATAGTACATAGCCAGTAGAGGCTCTAGAGATATGACGAAAGACATATCAGACTATAGGAGAAGTTACTTCATTTGTTATCTCTGTTTACCACTCCCATCAACTGATTAGATACAGCAGAGCGTAGCACTCTTTCAAACGTTGTCCTCCTTTGTGCGTTTGACCTCATAAACCCTGAATGTCTTTCGTACATTGTCTTTTTCAATGTCTATATTTATTTCCTTTTGTTTTGTTATATCTTTTGACATCCCTTTACAGATGCACAAACAAACCCATTCGGATACGTGGTTTGGTTCTTCTAAAAACGAACAGACGTATAAACTAACCGTACATCATTATCTAGGTCTTTCATTTGCATAGCAACAGGAAGTAGAGGGCATTCTGCTGCCATGTCTCCCTGTCTCCATAACCTCAGGAAGTAGAGGGCATTCTGCTGCCATGTCTACCTGTCTCCATAGCAACAGGAAGTAGGTGTGCTGAGGGTGCTGCAGCACCTTCCGAAAAATCACAATTGAAAATATAAATATATATATTTCACAAAAGTAGTGCGCTGGGCCTTTACTAGTCCTGTATTAGCAGACCGATATAGCCATCTGTAGTGCTGGCAAAATGCCGCCCCCCCCCCAAAAAAAATTAAAAAAATAAACATATTTCTGCGGCTATGCTCATTTGAAGTCCGATCTCAGAAAAACTCCTAATAATATAATTTAACTTAACACCTGTTGGAACTTGTATATCATGTTCCTATACTGGCCTGATCCAACTGGCCCACGGGGGTTAAGTTAATCATATCTGAACATGAGAGGAGCATAGCACTACATTACTACATACACACGCACACAGAGGGTGAGATTAGTCCGTGGCGTGGGGCCCACAGCTCAATATGTCCTGATGTTGGTCTGAACATACCTCCAAGCTGCCTGTCCTGAATTGGAACTAGTAAATCAATACACATAGTGGTTTTATATATTGGGTAATTACATGATGGTAGAACAACAGATTTTCAACACTGTAGTGAACATTTTTTGTTTTGCGGCAACTTCATTTATTTTTCAAAACAACTTGTCTGTCTATCTAATGTCAACAAAAAAAGCAGTCATCGATTACCAGCATTAGCATCAAAAAGCAGATCTCATAGAAAAGAGCTAACCCAGTTAGCTGTCTCCCATCCACCCAGTTACCTGTGGCTTAGTGAACTACTGGCATGTTCAACTAGATAATAATAATAATAATATAATAATAATAATAATAATAATAATAATAAGCCATTTAGCAGATGCTTTTATCCAACGCGACTTACAGTCATGTGTGCATACATTTTTACGTATGAGTGGTCCCGGGGATCGAACCCAGTACCCTGGCGTTACAAGCGCCATGCTCTACCAATTGAGCTAGAGAGGACCATAAACATACAGAGAGGGAATCCAAGGGTCCAGAGATATATACATTAGATCAGCCAGCACTGGGGGAAGACAGAGACAGAGAGCTGCCTATAGCCTGTTTATATAAGGAAACAGGACAGACAAAAACAATGTATGGATGGAGATGGAGTGTGTGTGTGTGTGGGGGGGGGGGCGACTATACCAGAAGTGATTTGTTTATAAATGTCAACATTTTTTTCAGATACACTCAAATCTTCATTTTTCACATAAACAAAAGCCAACATTCAACTACGCACAAAACTGCTACAACTACTAAAATTGAAAGAAAATGTGTTAGGTATTTAGGCACTTAAAAATACTTCATCATCATTTTTCAGCTGATAACCTTGCTCATTGAAACGTTAATAGAACACAACAAAAAAACAGATTTCAGTCAGAACACCTAGTTCTTCCCGGTAAAGTGAGTCAGTGACTAATAGGTTGGCACTAATCGCTGCTTATGGTCTGTTCATAGTTCATACAATCACTAAAGCACTGCCTGTGCTGGCTGGACTCCTATCTCCCTGTCACAGCCACAGCTGACATCCTGTCTGGCTGGCAAACTAACGCTATCCAGACGTGGCTGCCAGGTTCCCGGGCCTCGTGGTGCCTACAAACGCTTTTCACTGTAGTGGTAACCTGTATGGCACGACCTTTGTACCTTTAGTTATAGGTACATAATTGTATCCTTGCAGTTCGTACCTTAAAAAGAGACAATAGTGTACCGTAGGGGACAAGATGGTACAGGTACAAAAGCATCCCTTTGGAAAAGTTACACATTTGCCTTTTTAGGGTAACACTGTAGGGTGTAAAGCATTATTTGCATATTTCCCAGGGTGCCTTTCAAGTTAAATTTTGAGTTACGAGTACCACCCATGACTGTGTTTACTAGTGACAGACATGGTTGTTGCATTCAATGGCTTTCAGTCCTGTAGCCTTTCTCCAAAGTGAGTGCCTAAGATAATATTTTATCATTGAAATTAAACTCATTATGACAATATATTACATATATAATAGGGCCATACTTTGACAGTCTAGTTTTACCCAGTGGTCTGAAACTCCTGGTTTGCAGGTCATATCGGGCAAATCACAAAATTATATGTAATTCCTACTGGAATCCAGCCAGAGTTAGGATTTCCATTTTTTTTAAAACTTTTAAATCACACGCAACCTGCATTTAGAAAATCGATAAAGGAAACGACCTAAATTAGAATAACCATGTCAGTAATGGTCCCGTGTGGCTCAGTTTGTAGAGCACAACAGAGTTATGCTGAGACAGCTGTTTCACTTTAAAATGTCTGTCAAACTAAAACCAATGATTGCAAAGTTAAACAAGCCATACAAATCTATATACAAGGACAACTTTTAACAATTTCCAAAACTGTGGAATTGCCCTTTCATATCTGAGCATGGCAGCCCCGCCAACCTCACTTCCATCCTCACCCCCACCTCCACCCTGCCACCCCACCTCCACCTCCACCCTGCCACCCCACCTCCACCTCCACCCTGCCACCCCACCTCCACCTCCACCCTGCCACCCCACCCTGCCACCCCACCTCCACCCTGCCACCCCCACCCTGCCACACCCACCTCCACCCTGCCACCCCCACCCACCTCCACCCTGCCACCCCCACCCTGCCACCCCCACCTCCACCCTGCCACCCCCACCTCCACCCTGCCACCCCACCTCCATTCCATTGTTATTGGCCAATTAACCTAGCTGAGTCACTGCTGCAGCTCTGTCCTGCTCTGTTCTCTAGAGAT